ATGGTTGATAGGAAAGATAGTTGCAGATTTAGTTGCAAATACTGACTGACGATTGCCAATTTCCTATCAAATATTACAAGAATAAAACGTCAATTCCGAAGCCATTAGTTCTCAACCCTCAAAACCTGTTCCTGGCCAGCCCGTGAGTCACGCAGTAATGACTTCGCGGAATTTGGTCGAGCAGACCGTTGCTAAAGACACGGCTCTACCAAGCCGCGGGGCTTGAGGGCTCGAAAGAGAAGCTTTTCTGAAGCCCGATCTAGATGAGAAAAATCTAGATCGGGCTTCAGAAAAGGATTGGAGAGATGAGAATCTAGATCAGCACCAAACTATATTTTAAACGGGCCCTGACGCATTCATTAAGATGACTGAGGTTTTATTTACTTACCCCAAAAACTTAACCTCAGTTTTGTCTCCTGTCATCCGCTTTGCACTGGAGGGAAGTCGAACCTTAATTTCGAACTTCTCCTAATGTTCTTCTTCTGATTAATTTCGTTGCGGGTCCAATAACAGTTTAACTTTCCCTCGGGACAAACTTGACCTTCACTGGTTGGGTTTTTTATGGCGATCAAGCTGTAGATCCTGGCTAGAGATGCCGTGGTGGGAAAGAGAGGTAAGAATAGTCCCGTTACCCCCAAAAACAATGCATTTTACCGATTGAATGACTGTAGGTCAATGCCTGTAACTATCACAGTAGACGCTATTCTATATTACAACAACTGAGATTAATTCTTCATGCTATACGTATAGATTGAGTATCGCTTATCTATCTACAAAAGAAGGCCAAATTAGGATAATGTTTGTTGAAACTGGCCACAAAGAAAACTTTTTTTTTAATGACCTGAACAAGCCATAACTTTCCATTAGCCATTCCTAATTCTATTGGCTTAAAAGCTTATCATTTTGTTTTAATTTGTGTTATTCATACACATTTTTACGAGTAAAAACAAGTCATACTCTATAGTAAAGCATTCACCATTTGCAGTGAAAACATAACAAACAAAGCGATTAATTTCTCGGTAAAAAGGCACTTTCACGGAATGAATATTTAATCAGCATCCTTTTTAAAAGCTGTGTATTTTGCCATATTTTGTACTTAAAACTTTCAATTTAAAATGATATTTACTTAAAGACTTTAAGGTTGAGTTAAGATAGAAACGTCGGTAAAAGTAGCTCTAAATCAAGGGCATGAGCGATATGAAAGTTTGTTACTCCCACATAGTCTAGCTTGCTTCTAGATTTCAGTCTGTGTCGAACTTAGAGCGCTTAGTACCACTTGATACTGTAGCAATAAAAACAGCTGAGTTTAGAAAATATTGAATGAAATATAGCTTAAGTATTTCCACAGTAAAAAAAAATATATGAAAACGCTTTTCAGAGAACAGATCTTTTACTCTTAATGTTAATTCTGAAATGCGTTAATGCTTGCTTATCAGGATTTAACTTTTTTGTAAAAAAGTCAGAGGTCAGAGTCTACAATCAGGGGGATAGCTAATGTTTTACCGCATATGAGCTGGACGAAATTTGTCAGTTTATGTTCAGTGGGTTCCGTTAAAACGTTTTTGTAGCTACTCCGTATGGATTTTTATGTCTGAGATAAATGATTTAAAATAAGAATAAAGTCGGATATCCGTTGTCCAGTACAAGCTTTGCTTAGTTTAGGACTAGAGGCGCAGAGTAAAATGTCCCAGGATTTTTAATTTTTATTATGTGTAGTCGACTGTACACACTCGTATAATATCGAAGGTAGTATTTACAGTGCGCTAGTAGATCTTGATACTACTAGATCAGGTAAAAGTTGCAGGTAAGCTGCGCCCGCGCACCGGTTGGCCATGCATCCAGCCTTTTACTTTTGGTGTCGCAACCGGCGGGGTCACAGTGTGAAAGAACCACGCGTTCACCTGACCCGCACAGATGTTTTGTAATTTAAACTGTTTTTGAGTCGAATGCATAATCTTGGCTGGTGGTCTTATTGGACCTTAAAGAAGAAGTATTTATCAAAACAGTGAGAATTAAAATTTTAAAAGTACAATCTTGATCTATATATCATTTTTTTCCTTTCCTTTTCCTTAATCTACAGCGAGTAGGTAGTTCGTGATGATAGCGATAACAAAAACAAAGTTGCCGCGACTATTACTAATAGTATTATGTGGTATAACGACGTCTGTAATTACAAAAAGCCATCTTTTCGCAACAAAATTTTAATTTCTGTTATGTAAGCAATTCTTATAAGAAAGGCAAAAGGTTAGAGAATGCCAAATTATTATGACATCACCCTGTTATTCCACTCCTCCACTTAGTTTTAGCAAAAATATGTTACGATGCTTAGTTACAGTTACCAGCAAGCTACCCAACCACCAGCACTTTATTTATCTATACAAACTCTGTCTGTCTGTCTTGCTTTCACGCCTAAACCACTGAAGCTATTTTGATTAAATTTGGCATAGAGTTTTATCCCGGTTTTATTCTGTGACCGATATTTTTTCTGTGACAGACAAAATTCCACGCGGGCCAAGCCGCGGGCGGAAAGCTAGTTTATTATAAAGATGGACACAGTGTTTTAGATCTGCATACAGAATTTACGGCCTATTCCTCTTTGATCACCTGGCTAGGTGATCTTATTCATGGGTGATCAAAGGACACCAAAGTGTCGTCTAGAGTCCACTTTGATCAACACGACACAATCACCACACCTGAATTTGATCCCCCAGGTGATCAAAGTGGAATAGACCGAATTTACCCATAGGATGTGTTTCCTACACTTAAATTTTCCCGAATAATCAGTTACAATCTCACAATATCTTATTGATGTCCCCGATAGCAATGAAGGGTCGTGGGTAAGATGGAAGATAGCTCTATAAGGCATAGATACGTTAGGTTCATCAGATTTGCCCTTGTCTAGGAAAGGGGCTAGATTTTGATGTTTATCTGGCTGGATATAGCGCCCAGTGGCATCGCGTTAGCTTACTACTGCAGCACGTAATGGATTCCTTCTTTTTTTTTGTTTTTTTTTTATTCCTTCTTTATTGTGCTGGCTTCGATCTGCCTCCGGCTTGACCCTCGCGGACGTGCAATTGACTTTTTAAAAAGTTATTATTTGAAGGTAGAGTTAAGAGTTGACGGCATGCGTCCAGAGCCCATGATTGTGTCCAGATTATCCAGACGCTCGTCCGAATGAATTTGCTGGTTTCTTTACTGGTTTGATAAAATGATTTGGGATTTTGGACAATCTAAGACCCGAATATCTGGCTAGTAGACACTGTTGCCCAGACTTTCCGATGTACGGTTTTGAAGTGGTTACAGTATTTCTAGCTATCTGTGTGCTTATTGTGTCAATTAGAATTGGTGAAGTATTATTAGTATACAATTCCAAGATACGAATAATTAAAGCTGCATTGTGCAATAAGGAACATAGAAACGTTTGCATAATATGCGCTTTTCGACGTAAAATCAACCTGATTCGGTTGTCCATCGCACAACCATTACGAAAGGTTACAACAACTACAAGTGTATTTTAATTTAAAAGGTCATGTAACCAGCGAACCGGAATATAATAACGATTTGAATATTGGTTATTGTAATTGGACACCCAAAAAAATGTAATCGATATTTTTGACAACCCTGAGAGCTTTTTTGTGGATATGACAAACAGGATGAAGGAGAGTATGAATAAGTAGCATGTCTATCGATTATTATACAAGATATCTTTGTTTCCTATGTTTTGTTTGATGGATTTGTGAAAGCTTTTATAAGCCGTAATATAAGAAAAAATAATGGTGTCAGTGTCAAGAGAGACTGCAGGAAAACGAGTTTATTAGGGGTAATTGTGAGTACCTAGGTAGGTACCACCCTATACAACATATTTCGCTTTTGCCAACAATACCAATTCGCATAAAGTGTATTGAAGAATGTTCACTAATTTTGTTTTTTAGCTTTCTGTATTCTCTGTTAAAAATAAAAAATACACGTGAAAGAATTATTTCGATACGTCAATTAGTTTCCAAGATATTGAATTTTAAAAGTGCGGGCGGCGGCCGGCCATCCATTTTATGCGCGTGACGTCATATTACAACGACTGGCTCATATTTGTATGGGTGGAATCTTGCAAACTGAATTAAGACCCACTTCCAGGCAACCGATTAAGCTGAAATTTCGCAAACACATGTGATTTGGATGACCATGCAATATTATGATGACATGGAGCTGATCTGATGATGGAGCTGGAAGGTGGCCATAGGAACTCTATAATAAAACGACTTAAATGCATCGNAAAATATGTTCAAGTTTCACGTAGGTAAATAATGTTGATTGATGTTTCTGGGCGGGCCGCGCCCTTCTGCTGAACTGGCATCCGCAGAATACCAGTGGTCGTGACGTGCTCTCTGCCGTCACGGCTTATACTGAGCAGATGCCATTTTGGTGCGTGTACTCTGTTTTTAGTGTTTAAGTTGTTATTTATTTGTAACGCTTTTAATACTCGCATCAAATAAATACTTTCTTTCTTTCTTTCTTTCTAATTTTTAACCATAATATGTGTAACATCTAGTGAAAGGCATTTTTGGCTGTAATGTATAATTTATATTTCAGTCTAACCTACCTAACTAATCTTTATAAAACAATAAACACGTTAAATTATTTGTGTCCTAAATGCCAACAAAGGGGCACTAAATTGTAATTCTCTTATGTCTTTTTCATTTATGAATTTTAATTCTTCTTCTAAATGCATGTCTTTGCCTGGTTAGGTTTAACCATAACACATCATAGTTGACCGCCACATAACTTTCGTTTCTATGTGACGCAACCATGGCGGAGGCAATTTTATGTTCGATACGAGTACCTCTAGCACGAAAATCTTTCGTCTTCGTAGACTTCTGTACCTCTGGCACGAAAAATTTTCGACTTCGAATCGTTCACGGATTCGACAAAATTCGATACCCGTCGAATTCAGCAATAACGTGACGATGTAGATTGTCAAAATAAGTTTCGTGCTACCATTTCTAATACCAAGTTCACTTTACATCACGTTCACAGGGGCGCTGTTTTCATACTGAACCTTTTGATGGCAATTCGAATACGCAAACGATTCGAAGTCGAAAGTTTTTCGTGCTAGAGGTACAGAAGTCTACGAAGGCAGAATGTATAGTTAAACAAACCAATTAACTTATAAGTACCTATGTGTGAATAAGTAGGTTATAGATAAAAATAAAGTTGTAAGTAGAACTAAAGTATTTCATTACGTGTGCAAAAATTTTAAGATAACCTACATTAATGGCCACAGAAAGAGTCGCTTAGTCAGCGCTGAGAGTGCCGCGTAGTGTAATTAATTAATTTCGAGGTTTGCGATTCTTTGTGTGGCCATTAAAGCAAATTAAATTTTAGGTAAGTTAAGGACTGATATAGTGAAACCAAAATTTTAGTTAAAAACTCTACGAAAAGAGAAATCTCGATTAATCTGGACCAGCCATAATGCCCAAAACAAGATCAATATAAAATGTAGTAAATATGTCTGGATAACATAGTTCCAAATAAATATTGCTCAACAATTAATATATAAATAACATTATGGCCAAAATATGGCATACTTTTCAACATAATTTGGTAAAATTGACAGTAAGAATAACTACGCATATAAGACAATGGCAATAAAGGTAAGTAGTATAAAATAACTAGTTACTAATATGGACAGACTAATAAATTGAAGTATGTAGTTCCATCATTTATCTTAAAATAACAAATATGTATCACTTATGCTAATATCAAACATAATATAGATAGGTATATAACATATCAATTACTAATGAATAATAATTATAAAAACATTTTATTTCAAATTCTGTCACTCAACTACATTAAAACTACGATGGAATATTCATGTTTAAGCCAGATTAATGGTAAATTAACTCAATCAAAAACCCTGATGATTAAATGTTTAATAGACCACAATGTTAAAAATTTTAGGACAGACCAAAAATAGTCAATATAAGCAATTTCTTACAATCATCAAATATTTCCCAATCAAATAGGAATATAAGTGAGAAGATAGTTTATGAAGCAGCTATAGCAGATAATTGGCTCCAGTTGCTTGAATATTCAATTCCGAATACCAATTTTGATCACAGTAAATATCATTACGTTTCTCAAGTCTTCAAATCAGATTTCAATGCTTTTTATGTTTCGGATTATATTCTTAGTTTAAGCCTAGGCGCAGACCACCGATTTTTAATCGGCCAATAGTTGGGCCCGATTCTAATTTGTATGAAGATTCAATCGGTGCGTGCGCACTTCCATACATGCCCATACTGATTAACTGCCTAAACTATCGACCGATAAAAAATCGGTAGTCTGCGCCTAGGCTAAATCATCAGATGAATTAACCGAACATAGCACCGCAATTTGAGCATCTCCTATTCTTGAGAGCGAGGCAGCAAAGTATGCCTAGTGGGAAGAACAGAATAGCACAGAGTATACCTAGGCACGTGAAGTCGTCTTCTAGGATTCCGACGCGGCAGGCAGGGCAGGCGCCGACGGCGATGATGGGCGGTTGAATGATGATGGTGCTGGTTGCTCCGTAGTTGGGCACGAAGGCTGGGCCTGGGGGTGGCGGTGGCGCGGTCCCGTATGGGGTGTAGCCGGGGGGTGGGGGAGGGTATGGACCTCCTGGAGGCACGCCAGGCTGTGGTGAGGGACCTGGAATGTTATGAGATGACAATCACTACAAAGTATAAAACAAAGTCGCTTCGCTGTGTATGTATGCTTAAATCTTTAAAGCTACGATTTTGATGCGGTTTTTTTAATAGATAGCGTGATTCAAGAAGGAAGGTTTATAAGTACATATAATAGGTACATCAAAATTGTACCTGTGCGAAGCAGGGGCCGGTCGCTATCGCTAGTTAATAATTATAATGCTAATTGAAAATATAACATTTGAAACTTTTCCGTTCCATTTCCATTCTAATTGGAAATTTTGAAATTGGCTATTTAGCTGTTATTGCAATAAGGTAGCAATTTATTATAATAACAATGTCTTGTGCTGCAAGAAGAATGTTTGGATAAATATTTTATTCTAATTGTTAACCCAAACTCACTAATTGGAATACTCATTCATCTCAACCCTATCCATAGTATTCTTTTTTAGAATGTTTGTATTTATCTTTATTTATTACTAAACATGTGGTGTATGTTAATTTATTTTGGATCTCTGTTTAGTTATTTAATATTGTTTTAATTTTATGACAGTGATCTGTTTGTGTACCTATTTTAAATAAATAAATAAAAACTGGGAAAAAACCCTGGATCTATACAACTTCGAAAGTCCAAATTCAAACAACACAATAATAATGTAAAGCTTATAACTACAACACTAATAATACTTTACTTTTAAATGTTACATACACATTTTAAATATGCATGTAACAGCCATTATGTAGTTTATCTCCACTACGAATAAACTGATAATTGCCAATTAAGTTCACGATGATTTTATAATGAATGTGTGTAATGTAAAAGCAAATTAGTATTATTCTTTACACTTCACAATGTTGGAATAGTGTTTTGAAATACATTTTTAATATTAAATCACAAAGTACAAGGAATTTGAAAGCTAGTATCAAACAGAAGGCAATGACCTGCACTAACATTGAAGAACATGAGAACAACTCATGATAACAATTTTGTGAAGCAAGCTAATAATAGCAAAATTTTGATTTGTGTATGTTTGGTCAACTTATAAACCAATAGTTGTAGACTGAAGATAGCCTAATTAGTTTATTTAATTAGTAGTTTGGACCCTTCTGTTCATAGAGTACATTTTAGACCGCAAGTTTCTTTTCGTGACTTTATTTAGAAACTCGTCTCGGTGGCCTAATAATTGGGTGACATTTTATCATCTACAGTACGTATAGAACGAGAAAAATATGAAAGCGTTATAGCAGCACCCATGATTGCTTATCGACATGATTCATTTTGAAGCCTCAGTAGGTATCGTATCGAGTATCGCCTATGTCGCAACATATTTTTACCTGGTGGAACGGTCGCTGAATAAGGTGGAGGTTGCTCAGTCACAGTTGGTTTTTCCATTTTATCGTAATTGCGTAGTTTGTAGTCACTGCCCGCAAATTGATTACAAAGAAAACAGCAACTTCTTCAACCAACAAACAAAAAAATGCATTTGTATCAGCTGCACAGATTTAGTGATCAGCTGTCAACTGTCACCGACAATGACAGCTGTCAGATCAACTATTTTTTACATAAGTCTTTGGCTCTGGGTTCTTGAAATCAAGAAATGTGTAATCTACAATGAAAAAAAAAGTATCGCACACTTATAAAAATTAGAAAGGGAGCAAAAGAACCGAACAGCAAAAGAATCACTTGTTCCTATGGAACTTCGCACCATATTGCTTGGTATTCGTGATCGTCAAAATGGAGGGACCAAGTCTTCATTTATAGTATGGTGGATATGATAATCATGCCCCTACGCAAGTTTCACAACAAAGACAAACATGTTTTTTTTTCAGATGCAATTTATCGTTAGTTCCAGTTGGTTCATCCAGTTGATCCAGTACACAGCCCATTAGGTAACGACAATAGCCGGTGACGGTGTTAAATAGTGTCGGACTGTTTCGAGGGTCGAGTTCCCCATAGAGCAAAGTAATACATAGAGAGTTCCCCGTGGCGTCCTAAGCCCCGTCGTCCACAGATGATGATGATGATGATGATGATTCATTCGACCGATTTCGGCCATGGCCATGGCGAATACTTCTACTCCTATCTTGGCACTGGACTATTGTGGTGTCCTATTACAAGCTTCAATCTGTAAGGCCCAGAACAGACGGTGAAACGCAACTGCAACGAATCTGCAACTGCTAGTTACCTTTGAGTTTCATCAAAGTTTCTGCCATAGCGGCTGTTGAGAGACCACACATGACGCGACCAGTTTGAAAGTTTCAGTTGCGTTTCACCGGGCCTTATAGAAACCTTGATGTGAAGGAAAACGGGGTAAAGAGCACAAACTATTAATGAAATAACACAAACACAACTTTTGAACTTCGATATATTCATTGTATTTCACAAAACAATAATAACTATTAACGTCAGTAACTCTAAACTACTTGAACGCTATGATATTTACAACTTCATTTGTTCATGTATTGTGCTTATAACATTACGTCGTTTCAGTTTATGTGTTACCATAATTTTCCACTATTTATTGGAAATTGTGTAAAAAAATATAAAGTCAAAATATACAACTTTTATTTTAACTTAACAAAATCATAAAAAAACTAACTAACTCAATTCATATTTACACACAAAAGTAAAGAGTCCATTTCACTAAATATAACTCAAAAATTAATTAATTAATAAAGGTAATCATCAACTCCTTCGATCTTTATGATACCTACACGATTTCAGTATAAAGTCACTGTTCTATTCTCACTTTTGTTTATAAATAGAAACAATTTAATCATTATCACAATAGTGCTACATTATATTACGCAATAGGCTTGTATCCACAGTGAATAAATCTGCTGTATAAGATTGTATAACTATTAAGATAGTCATGTAATTAATGAAAAACGAAACTACATAAAATAATAATNGCAATAAAAATAAAATAAAAAAAAAAAACAGAGTAAATCAAAATTAAAATTTTAAGAAAAGCAAATAAACTGGAAAACTTCTTTCTGTGTTATTAGTTATTGACTCATATTAGCCCAATCATCAGCATCAAAATTACTTATGGTATTAGAACTTAGAAATGTTATGATAAACATGTATTAAGGCTAACCTAATCCAATAATAATTAATTATATTTTTTTTTTCCAGAAATCAGCCCACATGTTCACTTATGGCCACTCTGCTCGTCTATGGTTCCCTTGTGTGGACAGTTATGCTGAACCCTGCACATGGAAGCTAGAATTTACCGTTGACGAAAGCTTAACTGCTGTATCATGCGGGGAGTTAATCGATGTGGTTTACACCCCTGATCATAGAAGGAAGACGTTCCACTATGTTGTTAATACTCCAGCGTGCGCGCCGAATATCGCTTTAGCCATTGGGTATGTAATAATACCGTTTTGTACGGTCATCGTCAAATAGTTTCTGAAACCCAAAGTGGCCAAAAAGTCGACAACACAACCTTATTCCAGTACTGTTACAAAGAAGTGTACTTTTTGGCTACTTAGGGTGGCACAGGCCGCTACCAACCGGGCAACATGGAAAGCATTGGGGGAGGCCTATGTTCAGCAGTCTGTGGACGTCCTATGGCTGAGATTATGATGATGATGATGAGGGTGTCACAAACTATTTAATGCTGACTGCACTATTTTCCAAAAATCAAAACATTAAAATTAATAATCACAAATTTCTTTGCAGGCCATTTGAAACTTATGTAGATCCACACATGAATGAAGTGACACACTACTGCCTACCTCATTTGATGCAGATCTTGAAGAATACTGTCCGATATCTGCATGAGGCCTTCGAATTCTATGAAGAGACTTTGAGCACCAGATATCCATATCCCTGCTACAAGCAAGTCTTTGTTGATGAGGTAATAATCACTTGGCTTTTTTATTAAATTTCAAGTCTCCTTACCTTAATGTAAATTTTAAAGTCTGGTCGCCGAGCACGTAATTATATTGCTGTCGCGACTGTGCGATAGCCAGCCGCAGTGAGTGTGCGAGCGCGACAGCAATATAATTACACGCGAGCGATAAGGATGGGTTGCTTGGGGTCATTGGACGAATTTCTATTTGTTCGGCGACCGAACTTTATTAGAATTTTTGGTAATGCATATTCTATTACCATTATCTGCCTTCATTTCAGACCGAAGATGACGTCACAGCATACACAACTATGTCAATCCTAAGCACCCACTTGCTTCATTCGATTGCCATCATTGATCAGACGTATCAAAGCCGAAAAGCCATGGCCCAGGCGGTGGCAGAGCAGTTCTTTGGCTGTTTCATTACTATGCAGAACTGGTCTGATCTCTGGTTGGCCAAAGGTATACCAGATTACATGTGTGGACTGTACTCGAAGAAGTGTTTCGGAAATAACGAATATAGGTATTGGATTCATCAAGAGTTGCAAGAGGTAAATATTCCAACAATCAAATTGGTTTAATAAAACTTTTTTAAAAAGAATCTGTATTTTTTCGCAACATAGTTTATTGCGCCATCTTTCCTTCAGCAAAAAATACTCATTTCTTAAAAAACTGTAACGCCATCTACATTTGTGTATCCGAACTAGGTGCTCACGCAGTAGAAGCATGATGCTTTCTTTGCTAGCAATATCTAACTTTTTTATCCAACTTGAACAAAAGGAGGAGGTACTGAATAGGCTTGTATCCACAGTGAATAAATCTGCTGTATAAGATTGTATAACTATTAAGATAGTCATGTAATTAATGAAAAACGAAACTACATAAAATAATAATNCCACAGTGGCCTCTCGAAGGGAACGCACATCCACATTAATGGTTAATTAGTTCTTCTACGTTAGATTTTATGGACACTTGTATACAGAAAACATTGTGTTGTCAGTCACCATGATAGGTACATAAAGTCTCAAGGGACAAAAAAAAAACAGAAACTACTACTAATTTTACCTACAAAATAGAAATCCCGCTCCCGCTACCGCTTATTAATGGCAATTAAACAAAATAGATTGACTCGTGTCCTTTTCTTTGTTTTTTTTTTCATGTTTCTGATTGTGCATTTAACTACTTACCTTCGTCAACATGATCGGTGCCACAGTATTGATTGTCAGGTTTTCAATTAGCTGTTCGGCTTTCACTAAGTTGATTTTGGTGAATTTAGTGGCCACACCAGCATTGTTTATAAGCAGATTTAACCCAGAATTTCCCACGCCTTGGGCTACCCGTGAAGATAACTCGCCAAAGCCTTGGACGTTTGTTACATCTAAAAAAATATAACTTTTGAGGAATGAGGGGCGATTTAATTACATAGGATTTATGTGAAAACTGGAGAAAACAATTTATTTTAAAACTTGATTACATAAATGGATTTGCCTCAGGTGGGAAATTGAACCCACGACCTTTCGCTTGTCGGGCGACTGTGACTTATAAACTTCTAATCATTGCCACTGAGCTATAGAGACATTTTAATAACTTTCTTTACATTGATATGTATGTTACTTATAAAAAATAATGATTACAAAAAATAGTAAGTAAATACCTAGCTGTAATATTTCAAGATGTTTTGCTTCTTGAGCTAACTTTTCAAGTTCCTGTAAAAAAAGGAAACAGTTAAATGAGATAGACAGTTGAGTAACTTTTTATTATTAATTAATTATTTGTTTCATAAATTAATAATGCTAATTTACATAAATTGATAAGGTATAATTATAAGAATTCTGATAGAAACATCTAGTCGTAATACGATGAAGTCATGATGAATTAAAAATTGAAACGTCATGCCATGAGTTTCAAGGTTTCCGCCGTGACGTCATGTCAGTCTGTGTCGGTCGGCTAGCTGTCAAAGCAATCGTCTACCGATCTCTTTCCCACACACTCGATGAATTCCTTTCCTCTTTCCTACAAAAAGCTGAAGCACTCGTTAACGTGCTAGTGTTGAATAAAGACGCGAAACACTAAGTTCTGTGTGGTGACAAATTATTGTGATATAGTGTATAATACATAAATTACTTTAAAACCAGGAACCATGGCACCTATAGGTAAGTGAGATATGCATACCTCGGACGGCTTTCGGCATGTCGCGAATATTTTGTCGGCCTTGTTCTGTTTCACAAGATATCTGACCATTCCAAGTCCCAGGCCTCGGTTAGCGCCCGTAATTAGCACAGATTTCATGGTGATTGCACAAGTAGTAGGCTTGTATCCACAGTGAATAAATCTGCTGTATAAGATTGTATAACTATTAAGATAGTCATGTAATTAATGAAAAACGAAACTACATAAAATAATAATTATAGATTATTCATATTTTTAGTAAATAAATTCGGAAAAAATAGCCCCTAAGTCACGTGACAGCAAACACCAATCAGAGAGAATTACGTCACGCCGTGCGAAACGTCAGTCAAATTGTCATTGCCTTTTTTCTATTTTTTTTAATATAGTTTTTTACGGCTCTGGGTACAAGCCCTTTTAAGCCAGATTGTCATTGCCAACGTTTGAGTGTTGCTAGAATGTTACTTTTGTAAGGTTAGTAGTAGTTTCGCAGGAAATTCGTTCGCACGAATGTGCGTAACGTCCCCTTTCAATAAAAATATTTTTTTAGTAGGCGTTTCGCCCGGATGTATTAAAAGTATTAAAATCGCGTGCGAATCGACTCTTTCGAGAACTTAATCTCATACTACTAGTTCTCGAAAGAGTCGATTCGCACGCGATTTTAATACCACCGGGCGAAACGTCTACTAAAAAAATATTTTTAATGAAAGAAGACGTTACGCACATTCGTGCGAACTAATTTCGTGCGAAACTACTACTAACCCCTTTTGTAACCTTTTAGGTGATTTTTCGAAATTTGTAGATATTTTTCCTTTATTAGGGTCAACAAACAATTTTACGTCATGTCTGAAGTTTTGGCAAACAATGTTAGATAAAGGTACTGTACAGTACAACTAAGTGATGTAAAACATACACCGTTACAATAGTTTCCCATATAAATAAGTTGAGAGAGTACATTTTAAAAATTGTAATTACTAATAAGTACTTAATATAACAAAAAATCACAGACATATAAGGGTCATTCCATAAAAATCTGTATATTTTCGACGTCATTTTGTCCGTAACTTTTTTAAGATGCTTTTGAATACTTTATTAGTGTAAATTATAGTTTATTAATGTTATGTCTAATAGGGCCAGTCACTTTATGCTTTATTTTAGGAGAAATTATAATTTTAAATTTTTTCATACTACATTACTCCTATATGACTACTAATAAAGTATAAAACTTATAACCTTAACATTTATAGATAAGTTAATATACATAATGTAGTTGTTTTGTTATTATCACCATATAAAAAACATCATTCCCTAACTAGTAATTTAGTCCCAAGTGCCGTTTAAAGCTAGGGCCTGACGCTCTAGGGACTGACGATTTGGAGTAAAACTTAACACAAATGCAGATTAACTTTATATTATAAGATGCTTAATACGATGCGCCGAAAATAGCCAAAAAAACCACACGTAAATACTATTAAATTATATACAATTTCTTATTGTAATCAATAAAGCTACTCAACTAGGGACTGACGAAGTGACTGGATTAACACATGTTTCCGCAACAACTGGCACGTTTGCACTGATTCAAAAAACGGCTACCGCAAAGCCAGTATGGTCTGAGGATAACTTCGTATCGTACTTTAAACTCAACTAAATGTCATTCAATCTAAATACATATTAAAGCGCAAAATTATAAAATCAGTGCGTGGCGAGGGAATGACGCTAAAAGCTGTAGACTCTTTTTCAACTAAAGAAAATCAAATTATTGTTTATTGAAACCGCAAAATATTAATAGAATTTGGTGTAATATACATTTAAATAGATTATTCGTTAATTAAAACAAAGGATAAAGTTGATGTTTTTATAAATGTGGATCCCAAAACACAAACTTTTGGAGTACGGACATGCCTAGGGAATGACGTTTTGGGTCATTCAAAAGGAATTTAAGACGTTTTAAAAATAGTTTCAAAAAATATTAATGGGTGATGAATAAAGCACATTGCGAGCTGTTATTTAACAATTTTGGAATAAAATATTAACAAATATTTCATGTGAAATGTGGCGCGGACTAAGAGTTGACATATTTTTGTGGAATGACCCATAAAGAGAAAAAATAATCAAGAAATGCGGGCAAATGCTCAAATACTCATCGATTTTTCTGTATGTCAATAGAACTAGGTGAACTAGAATGATCCTATTCTATCAATTTTTAACGCCTTTCCAGTAAAAAATAGGAAAGGTTATTTTTTATACAAAAAGGTTATTTTTTTATATTTCTAGTAATTTCTGACATGACCCGACTGGCAACACTTTTCTTCATGTGAAGTCTTGTTTGTTTGTTGGTCTTATATTTTATTGTAATTAGTACGTTAATAACACAAATTTAAGCTTTCCCCAGTCTTATTTTATAAACAACCATGGAACCTGGATATGTCAAAGCAAACAGCAATAATTTGCCCAGAATTGACGCAGTTATGCTTGGCCGTTTTTTTGCTACAAACAGTGATTTTTGCTCATCGGAATTCCGCAATGTGAAAACCAGCATGTAAGTAAACGCCACCAGTGCATAATAACATTATAAGTTTAGAAGGTTTATTTATCAATAATTCAGTTTTGTTTATAAATTATAATACATTTGGTCAACCTGCTGTTTTGACCTAATAATATTTTGAGGTTATTCTTATATAAAGTAAAAAAGATATTAAGCCTTGTAGTACATAAACAGAGGTGTAATGGGTAAATTAAATTTCAGGTCCTCAAGAGCTTCCTATGGAGACGACGCCGTAAGCTACGTGCAAATTAAGCGTGATGGTAAATTTTGTACACTTAAGTGCAAAATATGTCCTGAACATAAAGTTCATGCCAAATTATATAGATGCACGCTTATTCTTAATGAAGAAGATGAAGTCATTCAGTCCATTCAATGTGAAGATTGTTTAGCTTCACAGGGTGGATGTAAACACGCTATTGCTTTCCTGATGTGGGTTCATCGTAGAAGTGAGGAGCCATCATGTACATCGGTTGACTGTTATTGGAAGAAGTCTAAATTGTCAAGAGTTGGTAGCAGCTTAAAATACTTGACTGCTAAAGAGTTATCTAATGGTAACCCTGCACTACCTGGAAATTCAGCTGTATTAAATAAGTTTTTAGATGAAGCAAGGAAAAGAAAAATAGAAGACTGTGAAATTTTTAAATACCAACCCACATACTGCCCAAGAGAAACACAGGCTGCTTCAATGCATCAATTGATATTTAAATTTAAAGAAAAAAATGTTGAAGATTTTTTGAAAAAAATTCAAATAACCAATAGTTTAATCACAAAAGTAGAGGAAGAAACAAGAGGTCAATCCAATAGTCCTCTTTGGTTTGAATTGCGTTATGGTAGAGTAACTGCTTCTAGAGCATATGAAATAAGTCGATGCAAAACCACTGATGGCACATTGATTTCTCTAATACTAGGAGGTAAAATTCCAGATACTCCATCTATGAAACGTGGACGTGTCCTTGAAGATGAGGTTAGAAAAGTGGTGGAGTGTAAAATTGGCCAAAAAATTAGAAGGTGCGGCCTTCTATTAAGCTCTGAATACCCTGTGCTTGCAGGCTCTCCAGACGGAATTTTCGAAGGTGGAATAATAGAAATTAAATGTCCATTAAATGAAAAAACATATAAGAATTATGTGAAAAATGGAAGTGCTACAGAAAAATATAATGCCCAAATGCAGATTCAAATGTTCTTATCCCAAAAGAAAAACTGTTTCTATTGTGTAGCTGACCCAAACTTCAGTAGCAATAAAAAAGTTGAAATAATAAATGTCTCATTTGATTTTGAATATGTAGACAATTTAATAAAAAATAATTTATTGCACTTTTGGAAAACCAATATTTTTCCTTTATTATATTCAAGTGTTGAATAAATATGGGTGCACATTTTGAATAAAAAACATTTTAAAAGTTTACATTTGTTTTATTTTACCAAAGAATCTTGTAGATTAATTAAAGCACATGCAATGACTATAATATCATCAAGTATTTTTACAAACTTCAGATGTACACAAGCATGTGGTTTAAGCATATAAAATTCACGTAAACGCCGAATGACTCTTTCAACATGAATTCGCAAACTGGCTATTTGTTTGGTTAACTTTGCCTCACTTTTAGTCATTTTCACTCCAGTTTCTACACTTGGAGGTCTGACTAGTGTAATATTTGACTTTTTAAGATACTGCTCCACATGCTTGAATCCCCTGTCGGCCATTATAACCATACCACTTTTCAATGTCTTAATAAAGTCGCATGATTCGACAATACATGTATCAGATGTTCTGCCCCCAAACCCTGGAGAAATATAGTTAACTAAGCCATTTGGCGTACAGGATATTAAATATTTAATGGTGTTGGCTTTTTTATAATCAGACCATGTCATAGCTTGATTTACTGCCTTTGATGGCTTCTGCACCTCTATTTCGAGGCAGTCTATTATGCAACTCACATTATTATACTTGTGTCTAAATGCCATAGGTAAGTTCTTTTTGATCATATCTTTGTCTAGTTCCACAACAAAAGGACGCAGAAATTTGGCTATAAGTGGTATGTTTTTTATAAATATTTTGCTTAAGTTTGCTGGAGATATTCCATAATCATCTGTCATCTGCTTAAATTTAATATCCAATCTAATTTTATTTAAACAAATCAATAAATGATGTTTGGGAATATTCATTTCATCTTTTAATAAGTCAATCAAAAAATAACAACTGCTTGGAACACCTAGATACAACCGTGGATTTTTTTCAATTTTTTTAATAGTGTTTGTCAATATTTTCTCTGCTTCTAGTTTTTTATCTTCTGCAATAAATTCACTGCAGTCGGAAGATGATTTAACTTGTAAAGAATTTCCTGTTTGTGAGGGACTGGAAGCGGCTGAAGGTGGTATATAAATATCACTGTCCGATTGTTCTTCCTCAATTAATATATTTCTTTTCACTTTGGTTAGATTGGATACAAAACACATTTTTTTGATGACTTCAACTTTAAATGGTGATGTGGAACTAGATATTGTCGTTGGTTTCAAGGGTGATGATGCCTGGTTTTTTGATATTATCTTACATTGGATGGCTTTACTCCTAAATTTATGGGTTATAAATGCTTGAATAGATTTATCTTCTTTTTTTGTATATACGATTTCTGCTTGAATAGATTTATCCATTTTCTGTGCACTTAACGTTTCTGGAACATCAATCGTTTGGAAATCTGCAATATAAATACCATATATAAATACAAGTCATTTGTTTCAATATCTACTGTAATATTGTTCTACATAATAGTTTATTGTTAGTATTAATGTTATTCTTATAAATACCTGAACTTGTGTGAGGAATAGCATTGTATGAAGAACTTGGTGTACAACTTTCCTCTTGTTCTTTCAGAGACTCCGCTATTATGGTCATTCTTTGTTTTTTTAATACATATGATTGTTCAGTGCTGCTGTATGTTCGCTTCCGTCTATCTTCTTGACATGCGAATTTACTTGGAATGCAGCCAGGTTTCATGCGGACTTGTGATACCTTCCCCATGATATGATACTCGGTATAATTAAGCATATCGTTTGGTAGCTGGAAAAATAAAAACCATGATATTACTGTCATGAATAATTCCTAACCTCATTTTGTTGTTATCATTATTCTTAAACAAAGTTCAACAATTTCATTAAATGTAGGTACATAGATATCAGATTATGTTGTGTGAAATATCTAACTTACATTGAAATGATCTTCACAAAAATACATCCTTGATTTTGTTGATAAACAATGGGCATTATATTTTCTTGCGAGTGTCAGCCACTTTTTACGCATCTGCTGATTGTTTGGTACGTATATAAATAACTTGTTTGGCGTTTTTATACTTGTGCTTGTACATTGGGGCACTATACAGTACTTGTAATACGATGGATCCATTAGTAATTAAAATAACTTTAAGATTTCCGTACTATAGTCCATTTAGCGTATTGATTATGACAGTTCTGTTTAGTGAGGCGCTTCTTTTAAACCTAATCGATATTTTTTAGAATCGAGAATATTTTCTTAAGAAATTTAATCGATTTTTTATTTGTTTGATTTTTAATTTTATCTACGAAAAATCAAAATTACATCTTCGAATTTTAATTATCTGGATATGGAATAAACGTTGTTACACAATAAATCACAAAAAAATAAATATTATGCATTTTATTCTATTAGAACAACAAATAACAATAACAAACAACTCGTGGAGAAATCTCATAAAACATAACCGGCCATACAAGGCAAACGCACACGTACTGACTAATATTTGACCTGCCTGAGAGATTAATTGTGATTCGATGGTGAGATGACCACCATATCGATTATTGATTGGACGCGATTGTTCATGTCCATCCCTATGTGAGCAAAAGTTCCGATTAACGCATTAAGCATTTCATGTAATATTTTTTCACAAATTTTAATAAATAATAAACTAATAAGTATTTGAAATTCTTGTTTAGGTTAATTGAGAAAGATTATTAATGTTATTTTGGAAGGATGAAAGCACAAAAACGTGATTGATTTTTACACCTCAATATTTTTATTCTTAAGAAGTTGGATTCATGAAACGAAATGTTTCAACTGTCTAAATCACCATCTTAAGCTGAATGAACTACCTATAAAACAGCTGTGTTTTGCAAGGAGTGACGTCACTCAAGACGCCATGACGGTCGTGAGCGTTTTTGAGGGCTTTATGTCAAATATTATTTAAAATGCAAAATAATCCTTGAAGATGAGCTTTTTTTTTCAAAATAAGAGCGCATTTGTATTAAATAGGCATCAAGGTATATTATTAACTAATTATTGAAATTTAGGCGAAAAGCCTATTGTCCGCAGCACCAGCAGCAGGCGCTGCCTCGTCAGATGGTGTAGTGGTATAGTGATAAAAATCGCGGTTATAAAGTTATCAGTGATCCGTAGTGCCAGTGATTGTGAAACTAGCCTATAAGCAAATACCCTATGTATAATGTAGGTATATCATATAAAATTGTAAGTTAACAGTTAAAAATGGTAATAAATAAATATGTATTTGAATAAATCAGATAGTAAAATCAAACAAAATTAATTTTATATAAATTTATTATTTTCTATACATAAATATGTAACGTAACAAACAAATTTGGTAATCTAATTCTGTATGTATTCAATTAAAAAATCATTAGCTAAATATTTACATACAACTGTGTTATGAATATTTTTAGATTCTAAGGAACAAGGTTATGTAATTAAAAATTATGTAATTAACAATCAACATAACATTCGCTAGTATAATTTTTAACAAAAAGTTTATAAATGTTTTGCCTATATCAGAACTATGTTACAAAAAATTCAACCGTGCTTGTACAATGTAATAGTAAAGTGTAACAGAAATGCGTCATCAGTCTCAAGTTACAGCTCCAGCTGAACTGATAAGCACTTCCAAGTAATGTTGACTTAGTCAGTAAACTATAAATGTATCGTATGCTCTATGTATTGAAATCATTGTAAATGTTTAAACTTAAAAAAAAATGTAATTTTTTTTTTAAAAAAGGGGGGTATACTGTAGGGGTTCACACTCATGAATAAACAGTCGCATTTAGATCGCACTCGGAAACGGTTGTTTCATTCCGCCTCCTCACACTGGCTAGACACACACACACGCCCGCTCCTATAGACGTAACAGCCCAATCTAAGAAGGATTTTCACACCAATAGGCGTTTTTCTCCACGAACATATCATACAAATACCGAGAAAAATTGTCCTTTGTGTAAAACCAATCATATTTTACTCCAATGCAAGTCTTTTCATGACATGTCGCCGGAAGACAAAATGAGGTCGATTGCACAACTGCATATTTGTCGCAATTGCCTGTACTCACACAACGAAAATAAATGCAATTCCATCAAAAGGTGCCGAGTATGCAAAGATGCACACCACACAATATTGCATGATATTATTCGGAACGCTGAAAAACCAACTACATCGAAAAACGTGATGCCTAACAAGTCAACTACGTCACAACAAAAGGCAAATCACGTGTCCGGCAACTTTAACGAGGTACTACTTGCAACGGTACAACTGAAAATAATGGCAGCTGACGGAACATTCATCAACCTGCGATGTCTTCTCGATCAAGGGTCTCAAATTAACCTAATAACCGAAGATGCTGCTCAACGACTGGGATTACAACGACAAAACCTGAACGCAACTGTATCGGGTATCGGGACGTCGGCACATCATAGCAACGGAACCGTACGTTTGGACTGCGAGTCATTATTGTACGGAGGCCATTCATTCACAATCGAAGCAATGATGATGGCAAACATGCTCAGCAACCTGCCCAACTATACTTTCGAAAAACAAGAGTGGCCTCACATCCAAAACATACAACTAGCTGATCCCGACTACAACATTTCAAGACCAGTCGACATTCTACTTGATGCGGGAGTGTATGCCGACATCGTCATGAGTGGCATCCTACGAGGCCCGTCACGGGCACCTATGGCCCAACAGACTAAGGTTGGCTGGGTGTTACTTGGCAATATTAACACCTTCAACTGTCATGTACTCATTAACATCGACGACGTCTCTCGATTTTGGGAAATGGAAGAGATATCAGATGACAACCACAACTTAACCTCACAGGAAGAATATTGCGAATCCATCTACACAACTACAACTACAAGACAAGAAGATGGACGCTATATAGTCAGACTTCCTATGAAACCACAATACACAGAAAGCTTAGGCCCATCTAAGCCACAGGCAGTCGCACAATTTCGACACTTAGAAAAACAACTAGCCAAACATACACAGTTATCTACTGAGTACAAAAAATTCATTGATGAATATTTACAACTCGGTCATATGAAACCATGCACCGAAAGACGAGAGCCTAGCTATTTCTTACCTCATCACGGCGTTGAAAAACTGGACTCAACAACAACAAAACTACGTGTAATTTTCAACGCCTCGGCTAAGACAAGGTCGGGAAATAGCTTAAACGATCTAATGGAGTGCGGTCCAAATCTTCAACAAGACCTACAATCTATGATACTGCGATGGAGAACATTTCAATACGTCTACACTGCCGATATTGAGAAATTCTACCGCCAAATACTGATACATGATGAGGACCAACACCTGCAACAAATTGTATGGCGTAACACAACCACCGATCTCATCAATGAATACCAACTTTGCACGGTAACATATGGCACAAAAGCTGCGCCATACTTAGCGATGCGCACTATAATACAGCTAGTTATCGACGATGGGCACCGCTATCCTCTAGCGGCTGAGATCCTTAGTCATCAGCTGTACGTGGATGACCTGCTTGGTGGCAGCAACGACCTCATAGAAGCGCAAGAGGCACAACAACAGCTGATTGACCTGCTAAAAGGTGGTGGATTCAATCTACGCAAGTGGGCCAGCAATCATCCTACCATACTCAAAGCCTTACCTGAAGATCTTATAAGCCAAAACATGTTTGACTTCAAGGACGCAGAGAGTAACAAAACATTAGGCTTGTCGTGGAATCCGCACAACGATCAGTTTACATTCAAGGCGCCACTTAGTAACAACATACGTGACGTCATTACGAAGCGAACATTACTGTCTGACTTATCAAAATTATATGACCCACTTGGCTGGCTGTCGCCAGTAACAATGAAATCAAAACTCATCTTTCAACAAGCTTGGACTGCTTCAACTGACTGGGATGAACCCCTCCCGGACAACATACAACAGGAATGGAGAAACTTTCAACAAGAACTGCCATCCATTCAAGACATCAGTTTACAACGCTGGATTGGTAACACTCAACAACCAATCGAGCTACATGGGTTTAGTGACGCATCTGAGAAAGCTTACGGATGCGTCATCTACTGTCTATCCACGGATCAAGATGGTCAACAGATCGTCAAGCTGGTCGCCGGGAAGACTAAACTCGCCCCACTAAGAAAACCACCATCGTTACCTCGACTGGAACTTTGTGGTGCCCTACTGCTGTGTCGACTAATGACAAAGGTCATACAGTCAATAAACTCACAGACAGTAACAATCCACGGTTGGACAGACTCTATGGTCGTGTTAGGCTGGTTACAAGGAGAGCCTTCCCGGTGGTCTAAATTTGTGTCAAATCGAGTAGTTAAGATCATTGACATGATGCCATCCGGATGCTGGAGACACGTGAAGTCAGAGAACAACCCTGCAGACTGCGCCAGCAGAGGCCTTAGTCCACTACAACTAGCTAGTCATAATTTGTGGTGGGGACCTAACTGGTTGATAAACGATGATCTACCATGTGTTGAGACTTATACTACCAATGAAGAGGAGAAGAAATCGAAACGAGCCTGTGCAACACAAATAACAGCGCCACTCGTCGAGACACTTCTGTACAGTTACAGTTATATGTCACGTGTAACACGGGTACTTGCTTGGATATTAAGATTTGTAAACAATGTACGAAACACAAATGATGACAAGCGAGTATCGCACTTAACAACGTGTGATATAGAAAATGCTGAAAACGTAATTATTCGAACTGTACAACACAATTACTTTGCTGAGGACTTGACCCACTTACGTAAACAAAACAAGGTGTCGTCTTCAAGTAAACTTCTAACATTATGTCCTATTCTGGATAAACAAGGAATAATGAGAGTACAAGGAAGATTGGAACACGCAAACTTAGATCAATCACAGAAACACCCTGCAATTTTACCAAACAACACCAAATTGACAGAACTGCTGATTGACCAAGCTCACCAGAGCACTCTTCACGACGGCGTAGGCTACATTGCGAACTCACTCTTTGGGGTCCTTGATGAGAGATTCGCTGAAAAATATGACAAGGACATCAAACTCGTTCATGACAACGAAAACCATCTTCTCAATCTTTACAAAGAACACACGTCGATAATCGAAGGCGAATACAATTTGTTAAAGAGAAATGAAGAAGTCATGAACACACAATTTGCTGTTATCAACAAACATCTGGCAGAAACGGAAAGCCGGATACACCAGAGCCAAGACAATGCTATGTACATAACTGCTACTGCACTAGCAGCCAACATGATCCTTAATAATCTACGCCGCGTGCAACAAATGTTAATGGATTTGGTCACCGACGTGCGCAGTGGCAGGGTTGACACACATTTACTCAAGCCTGATGAGTTCGAAGATCAATTGAACATCATATCAGGCCAGGTGCCACAGGGCCGGTCACTACCATGCACCAACAGCTACAGTTGCACTAGGGAGATGTACATGTTGTCAAGAGTTCACATCCGATTGACAGACAGCTTTATGATATTTGAAGTAAAGATACCTCTTATATCTACCGAACAATATGAATTGACGCGTGACATACCAATTCATAACATAAAGGACAATACAATGATCAACATAGTGCCTACATCTGAATATTTCGCTGTGAGTCTCAGAAAAGATCTCTTAATGCCACTCGAATCAAGAGATTTATCTTCGTGCATACATTTACAAGAACATAAACTCATGTGTGCAATCAACCTACCGATTTACGACATCAAAACTACCGACTCGATTTGTGAAGCGCAAATTATAAACAATAGACCGATAAGCGCATGCCACACGGTAGTATCAACTTGCCGAGACGAGTGGATCAGGTTGCACACTCGAGGCACCTGGCTGTTTACATGTTGCGAAGAACGCGCAATGCGCATTTTTTACCCAGCTGGTGTGACGACACAGACATTACATGACTCAGGGATCATCACACTCTCTGAAGGTTGTTTGCTTCGCGGGGATCACCATTTCATCCACTCGCATTACAAATTACAAAGCGAGGTCAAAATCCATAACGATGAGTTGTACGTTCCTGACTCGGGCATCAACAAACTATTGACTATCAATAGTAACATCACCTTCCATCCTGAGAGTCATGACGACCAACTAAAAACGCTAAAGGAGAGAATTGAAGGAGTAAAAAGGGAACAAGAAACGCTGAACTTCAAAGCAGATTCCCATGAATATCATCAATACGCAATGTATGGAATCTCAATCCTGGGAGCTGTATTGATTGGAGTTATTAGCGCGCTCAAGATTAAGAAACACCTACTACAACGTGGACGAGCCACGGCAGCGCAACCTGATAACAGAGAAACCAACCGCAGTCACTCGGTCGTGGACAGCTGCATCGAGCTCAACGCCATCAGCACCAGGGTCGACGCGGCAACCTCTCCGTTCCCGGCTCGTGTTAACGATATTAAATAGTTTTTTGTTTAATTACTTAAGTCTAATGTTTGTACTATTTCTTTCTTGATATGGCAGGATGTACGAGCAAGTACATAGCATATAAGTTGTTCACTAAATCTGCTGACATAGCGCCTGCGCGCGCGACCTACTTTCTGTTCATTTTACTTCATTTTTATAACTTACTTACAATTCAGTGTAATAAACGCTCTCTACGGAATCGGACACAGTTTTAATTACCACATCCCGTGACGTAGATAAAACTACAACTACATCCAACATCAACACTGTAGAGGCACACAAGACACACAGCCCCTACATAACTACACTCCATTTTATAATAATTATGCTGACATAATGATGTCATACTTCTTATGGAATCCATCGAACAAGGGATTTTTTGTAAGGAGACCTTGTTTGAAACACGAAAGCTTTGAAACCAAAAATCAATAAAAAAGGNACCATGAATAATTGCAATGACATCAAAGGTTAGAGCATTGCAACGTAATGTAATAAATTGTATAGTTGCAAGGTTAGTCTAAAATACCAATTTGGAATTCGTTATTAAAAAATGACGTAGGTATCTACGTCTATTAATAAAAATTGGTTCCTTTTCAACCGACTTCAAAAAAAGGAGGAGGTTCTCAATTCGACCCGTATGTTTTTTTTTTTTTTTTNTATTATTAACTAATTATTGAAATTTAGGCGAAAAGCCTATTCTCCCATGTTGTTTATTATTGCAGTAGAATTTAAATAGATTCGGGACTATTTTTACTATAACTCCTGCGCAGCCTGACGTGACTTCACTAAAGAAGTTAGAGATTTGCTTTATTCGGGAAAAGCAGTTAAAGTTGATTTCATCCAAAGAAAAGTGTCGTAAGATCTTTAGAGAAGACGTCATCTCGACTCTGTCGCGCGCCCGTTCGGTCACGTGGTACTACACCTGAGGTGGAATTGTGTAAAGCAATCGTGTCAGTTCATAACGTACGATTATTCTGTCAAACGCTTTGTTTAACTGACTTTATCGTACTTTATGAACTGTCAAATGATTGCGATTGCTTTCCACAATTCCACCTCTGATCAGTCACATGGCACCGAGAAAGTACTGCAATGACGTACCTGGCGCAAGACTGCATCTCGATGTGCGACTGATTACACAGGCGGGTCGGTCTGGAAGCGCGCCATGTCCAAGTTGTACTGCACTAGTCTATGCGCGCCCGATCACGTGTCATGCACGTGGCAACTGCAGAAACTTACCTGGCGCAAGACTGCATCTCGATGTGCGACTGATTCCGTCCGTAGTAGCGCAATGGCTGGTGCGCGAGGTGGAACGCACGCACAGGCGGGTCGGTCTGGAAGCGCGCCACGTCCACGTTATATTGCACGCTCATTTGAAGGATGGCGTAGCCCGCGCCGCGCGCCGTCACTTTCACTGTACCCCAGGCTTCGGGAATCTGAATGAAGTAGGGATTGTGTTAAAAAAGCTGTAAGGGACACACATTAGCGTCTTTGGAGCGTCATTGTCTCAACAACGCTTACGCCGCAACAGCATAGAGAAGTTGCGTAACTTGTCCGAAAAAAACGTTGCGCTGCGCGGACGCTAGTATAGAGATCCTTTAATAAAGTTAGACTTGCTAACTGAGTCTCAATAACCTTACGGGAGTAAGGGAGTGAGGGGTTACTCTCTATCGGAATAAACAACTCTGTCTACGCAGAACCTACAGAAACATAAGACATGCTGTATTATTGATATCTCATAACTGTATTATTAACCTGTATCTTCTATATATATAAAAGAAAGTCGTGTTAGTTACTTCGCTTATAACTCAAGAACGGCCGAACCGATTTAGCTGAAACATGTCAGGGAGGTAGTTTAGAGCCAGGAGAAGGACATAGGATACTTTTTATCCCGTTCGAAATAAAAAAAAGTCTGCTTATTTATTGCCATTAAGGCGGAACAAAGTTCGCCGGGTCAGCTAGTTTACAATAAAGAAAATATAAATAAAATTTACTTTATGCTATGAAATCGATCGACGATCTGGTGAAGGTCGCGGAAAGCACCTGGATTCAGGCAAAGCAGGACCGGTCGTTTCGGAAATCCGTAAGAGAGGCCTTTTTCTACCTTTGTCTGCTTCATACGGATGAAACGATTCCAAGAAATGTATGGCGGATTTAATGGCGCATCCACACATGCCGGGCGGCACGGCCGGCGGCTAACCCGGCGGTCGTCTACCTTTTACTGACAAGGCAGACTGAAAGCTGGCGGCATGTGTGGATGCACCATTAGAATAACGCTGACCGCAATCGTCACCGCTGACAGATCAATTATGTATAGTTCCAAAATACTGAACTGTCCTATCAATGACATTGACAGCGGGGCGCCACCGTCAATACCGGATCGCTGGTTCCGATTTTTGCCATGCTGGAAACCATATAGTTGAACGATGGTAGCGCCCCCCTGTCATTGAGTTTGGTGGGACAGTTCAGCGTGGGTCATCTATATGTAACTAACGGCGACGCTTCATACATTTCGGCTGTCAGCGCCAACGGTCAACGTGCGTCAGCGCCATTTCAAAACCAGGCTAAAAAGACAATAGTGTACTCACATCGACGCTCTGCATGACGGCCAGGTTGTTGTTGTCGATGTGCAGCACCCGCGAGGAGCCGTTGAGCGCCACCGCGTCGATGGTCAGAGCTAATGCGCTGACGTCACGCAGCCGCTTCCGGTTCGTGTACTCGATCAGTGCTCGGAGAGCTATGTATGTGTCCTGCAATCAAACATAACTTAATCCTTCAAGCCCTGCGAATCGAGACACAATATAAAAAACGTTACCAATACGGAACTGTTGTTTCTTTGCGAGATCGAATCAGAAATGAGAAGATCCGTAAACGAACCAAAGTCGCTGACATAGCCCGACGTAATAGCAAGCTGAAGTGGCAATGGGCAGGGCACATAGTACGCAGAACTGACGGCCGATGGGGCAGAAAGGTTCTGGAATGGAGGCCGCGTACCGGAAAACGCAGCGTGGGACGTCCACCTACAAGGTGGACCGACGACATCGTAAAGGTAGCAGGGAAGCGCTGGACGCAGGCCGCTACCAATCGATCAACATGGAAAGCATTGGGGGAGGCCTATGTTCAGCAGTGGACGTCCTGTGGCTGAAATGATGATGATGATGATGACCAATACGGAACTAAGTCTGCGGGTACGAAACTGGCGACGGCCGAGTGATGCATGGCGAGGCGACGCAAAGCTAAGTCTGAGCAAATATTTATTTTCTGCTACTTGGGGTTGATCACCAAAACAGCTTCTGTCTGCTTCTCTACTCTTCTATTTTGGATTTAAAGATCATGTTACGGGATCGATACTTCTCTTAACCTCAAAAATACTGTCGTCACTTGGACTGGGATCGCGACGTATTAAGGTAGTTGGAACATTGCGCAGGAATTCTAGCCTGTTGTAATAAACGCTAGCCTTTGTCACACATTGCTATAGGCTGCCTGTCCACTATAGGGAGAAGATGAAGGGCAATCCTATTTTATTGACACAGCTTTTGCGATTGCGGTCAAATACCTGCCGTCTTGCATAAAAAAATCCCTTCTTTTTTCTTCGCTCCAATGGACAAGAACACACTGTGGACCTATCCTGAGTGGGATGAATTCATAATAACACCGACCTGTGTGGAGGCCCAGCCGCCGTCATGTAGCCGCTGCGCATTGAGCCACATGACGATGGCTTCATTGTTGTTGTTGGAGTCGCACTTGTTATTATTTAACTACCCAATGTTTGGAGAACTACGCGTTAATTGAAGCCTATTCTGGTAGATGCCAGCCTTAGTACTATACTACGTTAGGCTGCCCGTCCGCTGTAGAGGGGAGATGACGGGCAATCCTTATTTATTGAGACAGATCTGCTTCTGTTCTCATTCTACCAGTGGACGGACAGGCTTCCTAAAGATCACACTATTAATTGAGCATGCGTGCCGTGCCCACCCCAAAATCCAGAATGGTTTCTTACGGATCATAACATGTCAGGGGCCAGCCCCCCTGAAAAATGACTCTATAGTCTGGTCTGCGAGCAGGTAGAATTTTGTCCAATGACCCCAAGCTCGCACACTCACTGCGGGCGCCCGTCGCACAGTCGCGACAGCAATATAATTACGCGCGAGCGATAAGGATGGGAAGCTCGGGGTCATTGGACCAAATTCTACGTGCTCACAGACAGGGCTTTAGATACGCCAATGCTATTGAACTACAGTCCAGCTTATCACGAACCTGTGTGGAGGCCCAGCCGCCGTCGTGTAGCCGCTGCGCGTTGAGCCACATGACGATGGCTTCGTTGTTGTCCTGGTGGTCCATGCAGGCCAGAAGCGCGTACGCCGTGGCCGCAATGTTGTTGGAGTCGTACTTGTAGGGCAGACGAGGCAGGAGGAAAGGCTTCTGGTTCTCCATTTTGTAGGGAGGCGGCGGCACTGGCTCGCGACCCCAGTATACGAGCCCACCTGGGGAAATATCGTTGGGTTAGAAAATTATAAATAACTTGAAAAAATCGAAGCGTACAGCATTACACTTGAAAATTTCGACGGGTTCATCCAGTGTCTGAGAAGCTCAGTTGGATGAGCAGTCGCCCGGCAAGCGGAAGGTCGTGGGTTCCATTCCCGCCTTAGGCAGTTCGATTTTTTCAAGTTTTTTATAATTTTCAAATTAGTTTGAGATGCGACTCTTAACGCTAAAAATTAAATAACTATGGTTGGGTTAGTTAAATCATCAAAACAGGAAATATAAACTTTAAATTCTTCTTTCGCGTGAGTTGTACCGACTGAGATTATCCATCACGTAGTTGGCGTAGTTTTCTAAGCTGACTCAGAAAATTCTTGCACCTCGCCGCTTATTGGCCCGTAGGCCGCAAGCAAGCGTGGTCAAGTCTATGGTATTTGCTTACCATAGATTTGACCACACTCGCAGTTTTTGCTGCGTTGAATTGCACTCGTCTCTGACTAAGGATAAGCGCATGGGAGCCTGCCAAAAACATTTACACATAACTCGTCCAGCAGAGCTCCGGTACGCCTAGTCGAGGTCGACTAGAAGACGCCGCGCTTACGGGTCTCCGACCGCACTGGTTGAATCAGTTTGAGTGGGGAGTTTCAGACAAAGAATTCTGAACGACCCGAGTTGATATAGTGACGATCTCTTTCCGAGTTGATATCTGTGCTATGACCTTAAGAGCGTTTACGCGAAGCGCGGCGTTTCAAGGGGAATCATTGGAAATGATTCGCGCGCGGCGTTTTTTAATAGTTTTCAAATGTTTATAGCAAAACAATAACAATGAACTAAATATCGTTTTAAAGTAAATATTTTAAAGAAGATGTTGTTTTATTATATTAAGCTATTTTTATGTTGAAAAAAGGAAGAATATTGGTGAAAAAATCACTTTGATTTTTGGGTATTTCACGTTCTTTTAATTTGTGATTTCTTATTGTAAAATGCTTAAATCTAAAATTTTTCTCTGATAACTATTTGCCCAAGGAACTATGCAATAGGATATAAATGTTTATTAAATCGTTTTCACAGTATTTTTATAAAAATTTCAGCTTGTAAACTCACGCTAAAGTGGAAATTTACAAAACCTGTGTGGACTTATCTTGATAGAATTCTTAAATACTAAACTAATCGCAATATTTTCTCAATTAACTATTTAGACGACGAAATTGCCTAACTATTTATGCCTATAACATATTTGTAGTATTACTGGTTAATGATTGTAACGAGTTGAAAAAGTACTGTTTTTGCGCCAAACGGCGTAAACGCTCTTAACAGCTGAGCGTACCTTCTGCTCGCTGGCGGCGCTTGAGCAAGCGGTAAGCGTGTACGTACAGCACTGGGCGCCTTGGATAAGGTAGGGCTCGTCGAGCTAGTCCAGTAGACGCAGCTGCTTCTGACTTACTTGACTTATGCCCGTTTTCACCATCAATCCCTAATTTTTAAGTGATCCCTATGAAAACAAAATTCCTGTTGTGTTACCATAGGGGTCACTTAAAAATGAGGAATTGATCGTGAAAACGGGCATTAATATCTTATGTCCCCTAGATGGGGCAGAGGGCGTCCACAACAGTCCTCCATCGCGTTCGGTCTTAAGCTTCACGTTTGATCTCGCTCCAAGTCTTGCCGATTTTCTTCGCCTCGTCTGCTACTTTTATAGTCTGGTCTGCGAGCACGTAGAATTTTGTCCAATGACCCTAAGCTACCCATCTTTATCGCTCGCGCGTAATTATGTTGCTGTCGCGCTCGCACACTCACTGCGGTCGCCCGTCGCACAGTCGCGACAGCAATATAATTATGCGCGAGCGATAAGGATGGGTAGCTTGGGGTTATTGGACAAAATTATACGTGCTCACAGACCGGGCTTTAGAGGTCTACATTGTTAAAACTTCTAAAGGTACATTGTCAAGTAACAGCTGATCGTACCTTCTGCTCGCTGACGGCGCTTGAGCAAGCGATATGCGTGTTCAGAGCTTGGCGCCTTGGAGAACGTGAGCGCGTGCGCTACAAGCGCTAAAGCGTAGGGCTCGCCGAACTCGTCCAGTAGACGCAGCTGCTTCTGACTTACTTGACTTATACCCGTTTTCACCATCAATCCCTAATTTTTAAGTGACCCCTATAAAAAAATAAATTCCTGTTAAGTGTTACCATAGGGGTCACTTAAAAATGAGGGATTGATCGTGAAAACGGACATTAATATCTTATGTCCCCTAAATGGGGCAGAGGGCATCCACAACAGTCCTCCATCGCGTTCGGTCTTGAGCTTCGCGTTTGATCTCGCTCCAAGTCTTGCCGATTTTCTTCGCTTCGTCTGCTACTTCTAGAGGTATACATTGTCAAGTAACAGCTGAGCTAACTGGGTCCACATTGATCTGCTTGAATTGTAAGACCTAAATGCTAATGTGGTGAAGCAATAAAGTATAAAGTATTGAGCGTACCTTCTGCTCGCTGGCGGCGCTTGAGCAAGCGATATGCGTGTTCCGAGCTGGGCGCCTTGGAGAACGTGAGCGCGTGCGCAACAAGCGCTAAAGCGTAGGGCTCGCCGAACTCGTCTAGTAGACGTAGCTGCTTCTCCAGGTATGAGATGGCGCGCTGTTGGGCTTGCACCACGCGCGCGCTTAGACCCTAAAACAAAGGTTCGATTTACATTTCGATACTAAGCGAGATTACACAAAAGAGGGCCTACGCTAAAACTCACGAAACCTATTAGGCCCGGTTTTCAGCAAGGCGAAGCGGAGAAATGTTTTTGAAAAACCAAACCAGATTTCATTCAGAATGTTATCTCGCTCCGTTCTTCCTTGGTGGAAACCGGGCCTTATGCATGGAATGGAAAAGGCCCCGCATATGGAAACGCATGCGCTGCTCACGCAATTTCGATAAAGACGCATGCAGACGGCCGCGTGATTTTTAGCGGAGGACGGTGCCACTGCTGCTGCGGCATAGTGTGTAAACGCGCTAATTCTCTCATGAGCGAAATAAAGGAAAAACAGACAAGAGAAAAGTTTATCGTAGCTTTTAAGAAAAACAAAAGGAAAAGATACAAAAGAAGTTTATTACTTCTTACATAGCAAAGATTTGCATTTGCCTTCATTATTTGTAGGCACATGAGAAAAACGATCTTCGCTATGTACCAAGTCATGTACTGAAAAAATATGAAACACAAACCTCTCGTATTCCAATGTCCTTGAGATTCTTGACCGTTTCCAGCGTGATCACAACTTGGGCCGTCAGCGTAATGTTACGCTGCGATATCACCGTATTATTTACCTGAAAACACATTTCAAGTTTATATTTGAGCCTATAGATTCAAATTTGGAGTTCCAAATCATGTATGGGAGGTTGCAAAAAGGTGAAGGTGGTAAGGGCGGCTTGTTTGAGTGAGGCTATAAGCACAGGATGCACGTATGTATTGCTAAATTGCGATTCGCGTGCTGTCCCACTAAGCGCCACTTGAGTGACCTGTCTGGTTTTTAGTGAGTCGATCCTGCTTCTCTGGCAGGGAGGGTCTCATATAACCCCTGGCTTCCCCCGCGCCCAGAGTATGCTGAAAGTATTTTGCTGAGGAAATACAATAGTGCCCTATTGAAAAAGGTTCCGGCAGTAAAGATCTCGTGCCGCGTGGAGTTGTCGTTGCGCGCCGGCAGCACGTCACCTGCAGGCGCCGTGTCGGCGGCAGCAGTGCCGACACAAGCGGCTCACTGACCAGCACAATGCCGACACAAGCGGCTCACTGACCAGCACAGTGCCGACACAAGCGGCTCACTGACCAGCACAGTGCCGACACAAGCGGCTCACTGACCAGCACAGTGCCGACACAAGCGGCTCACTGACCAGCACAGTGCCGACACAAGCGGCTCACTGACCAGCACAGTGCCGACACAAGCGGCTCACTGACCAGCACAGTGCCGACACAAGCGGCTCACTGACCAGCACAGTGCCGACACAAGCGGCTCACTGACCAGCACAGTGCCGACACAAGCGGCTCACTGACCAGCACAGTGCCGACACAAGCGGCTCACTGACCAGCACAGTGCCGACACAAGCGGCTCACTGACCAGCACAGTGCCGACACAAGCGGCTCACTGACCAGCACAGTGCCGACACAAGCGGCTCACTGACCAGCACAGTGCCGACACAAGCGGCTCACTGACCAGCACAGTGCCGACACAAGCGGCTCACTGACCAGCACAGTGCCGACACAAGCGGCTCACTGACCAGCACAGTGCCGACACAAGCGGCTCACTGACCAGCACAGTGCCGACACAAGCGGCTCACTGACCAGCACAGTGCCGACACAAGCGGCTCACTGACCAGCACAGTGCCGACACAAGCGGCTCACTGACCAGCACAGTGCCGACACAAGCGGCTCACTGACCAGCACAGTGCCGACACAAGCGGCTCACTGACCAGCACAGTGCCGACACAAGCGGCTCACTGACCAGCACAGTGCCGACACAAGCGGCTCACTGACCAGCACAGTGCCGACACAAGCGGCTCACTGACCAGCACAGTGCCGACACAAGCGGCTCACTGACCAGCACAGTGCCGACACAAGCGGCTCACTGACCAGCACAGTGCCGACACAAGCGGCTCACTGACCAGCACAGTGCCGACACAAGCGGCTCACTGACCAGCACAGTGCCGACACAAGCGGCTCACTGACCAGCACAGTGCCGACACAAGCGGCTCACTGACCAGCACAGTGCCGACACAAGCGGCTCACTGACCAGCACAGTGCCGACACAAGCGGCTCACTGACCAGCACAGTGCCGACACAAGCGGCTCACTGACCAGCACAGTGCCGACACAAGCGGCTCACTGACCAGCACAGTGCCGACACAAGCGGCTCACTGACCAGCACAGTGCCGACACAAGCGGCTCACTGACCAGCACAGTGCCGACACAAGCGGCTCACTGACCAGCACAGTGCCGACACAAGCGGCTCACTGACCAGCACAGTGCCGACACAAGCGGCTCACTGACCAGCACAGTGCCGACACAAGCGGCTCACTGACCAGCACAGTGCCGACACAAGCGGCTCACTGACCAGCACAGTGCCGACACAAGCGGCTCACTGACCAGCACAGTGCCGACACAAGCGGCTCACTGACCAGCACAGTGCCGACACAAGCGGCTCACTGACCAGCACAGTGCCGACACAAGCGGCTCACTGACCAGCACAGTGCCGACACAAGCGGCTCACTGACCAGCACAGTGCCGACACAAGCGGCTCACTGACCAGCACAGTGCCGACACAAGCGGCTCACTGGCCAGCACAGTGCCGACACAAGCAGCTCACTGGCCAGCACAGTGCCGACACAAGCGGCTCACTGACCAGCACAGCGGGGTTGTTGGGGTCGGCCGGCAGCACGTCACCTGCAGGCGCCGTGTCGGCGGCAGCAGTGCCGACACAAGCGGCTCACTTTTCAACGTGCTTTTAAGCGATTTTGTGAAAAATATTATTGGCAGGTAGTTGCTGATTGCTCATAAGATAGGCCCCCTTAATTTAATTTATTGTCCGTGGTGCATAATCTTTTCTTAAACGTTTTAAACCTTTGTTTGTCACCTGTCATCCGCTTTGCAATGGAGGGAAGTCGAACCTTAATTTCGAACTCCTCCTATGTTCTTCTGATTAATTTCGTTGCGGGTCCAATGACAGTTTAAATTTCCCCCGGGACAAACTTACCTTCATTGATTGGGTTTTTGTGGCGGTCAAGCTGTAGATCCTGGCTACACAGGAGTTGCAGTGGTGGGAACGAGAGGTGGGAATAGTCCCGTAAGCGGCTCACTGACCAGCACAGCGGGGTTGTTGGGGTCGGCCAGCAGCTGAGCGGCGACGGGCTCAGCGGCAGGCACGTGCAGCGTGGAGTTGTCGTTGCGTGACGGCAGCCACGTCACCTCGTAGAAGGCTCCGTGCGGCAGCTGGTGTTGTAGCACCCAGTCCACGGCCAAGGAAATCACCTGAACGAGAAACACAATAAACGAAATTACAAATAGAAGGTAGATTCCAAAATCCATGAGTGTAACACAATTTAATTCCAAAAAAATTCGGCCGTAATGGACAATTTGACACCGTTCTCCAATAATTCGAAATCACAACTTTTCTAAAAAGACACTTCATTCTGGTCTTAAAAACTTATTTTTGGTCGCATTGTAATTGAAAAAAGTAGTTTATTTGAGTTGACAAAATAGTGACGTCACTTGCTTGTAGTGCCATACAAAATCTATGGGAGAGTTTCGTCTTGACACTTTTAAAAAGTACGTCAAATGATTGGTGGTGTCAACATGTCTATTATACAGTGGGTCTAGACAAAGTGCAAATTATAATCGCAAACCAGTCGATAAGTGGTCGAAAAGCCCCTTTTTTGTATGGAGTTTTGACGGATTCGATTTTCGATTCGATCAAAAAGTGCGTTTTGTCTAGGGGGGCCTGCTTTTAACTTCATAAAGGCAAGTCATGCTTAACATGACGTTGTAATTACACACCTGTCTATACTCGTAATAGTGTATGTGACATTTGACCATTCTAGTTTAGAATGGTTTGCAAGAAAAAATAAAAGATAATGTAATGTTACTCGAGATCTGTTTAAAGCTAATTATGACACTGAAGGGTTTCCTGCATTCTTAATTTTTCTTCTCCATGTCCTTATTTAGATGCTACTTACATTCGGATCAATGTAGATGAAGTTCTCCCATTCGTTGAAGCTGGCGTCTTGGAAGATCTTCGCGCAGAATGACGTCAGCCAGACGCTTGATGCTGATTGATTCCTACAAATAATTACAATCCATGACAATTTTTCTTTTTCAAATACCTAGAAGCCTACCACTGAAAATTGTTAAATCAATATAAAGAACTAGAGAAGAAAATAGTACAAGAAATTAGTGTTTTCTTCAAATTGTAAGACACAACTTCTTTAAAATACAAAATCTCGTGGGAGTTCTTACGAATCATGGCAGTGCCACGTTTTAACAGCTCAAAAAGCATGTCAATTGACAAATAGTATCTTAACACCCATGTTTAACATTACATGGCTTCATGAAGGATAGCTGGCGCTGGTAGAGGATGTCCATGTGACACAAGGCGCTGGTTGATGAGGTATCATCATGTCACTGTCTAGGGGAGCACAGCTGCGCTATACCATGGGATACACTCACCAGTCGCTCCGGAACAGGCTGAAGGAGCCATCGGGCTTCATGAAGGACAGCTGGCGCTGGTAGAGGATGCTCATATGACACAAGGCGCTGGTTGATGAGGTATCATCATGTGTTACTGTCTAGGGGAGCACAGCTGCGCTATACATGGGATACACTCACCAGTCGCTGCGGAACAGGCTGAAGGAGCCATCAGGCTTCATGAAGGACAGCTGGCGCTGGTAGAGGATGTTCATGTGGTAGAACGCGTCGTGTTCCAGCGTGCGGTTGCGCTGGTTGATGAGCCGCATGTATAGCGTCAGGTACATGTTCGCTGCGAAACTGAACATGTTCTGTTCGGCCGAGTCCTAAGAGAGACAGAAAAAATAAGTTTAAGGCCTCAGCCTCGAATTTAGCGGGCAGCGGGGCGGCGGCGGTAGCGGCGCGGGAGCGGCAGGATCTTATGCGTAAAATCAAATAGACCGGTTCTCGAAAACAGCGGCGCGGGAGCGGGCAACGAGCGGGCAACGAGCGGGCAGCGCACTCCTTCTTTTGCCCACAATAAATCGAGCGTTAGGAATAAATTTTAATCGAAATAAAATTGTTGCCGTTGTTCAGACATTTCGTTTGCGAATAAAAACAAATATCTCGACAACACAACCCCGAACACAACACTTCGCCGCTAAAGTGCCGCGCGAGCTGCCCGCTTGTTTGGAGAACGGGTCTGCGTTGCCTGCCCCGCTCCCGCGCCGCTGTCCGCTAAATTCGAGGCTGAGGCCTAATGGCGGTAGTTATGTTTTAATTTGATTTTGAATAAACTTGCATGTGTATAGCGTGTTAGGGCCACCCCACAGTTGGGGTGAGGTCTATGTCCTGCAGTGAAATGGGTTTTCTTTGCTTTGCAATATTCTGTGAAATACCTCTAGATCAGTGGTTCTTAACCTTTGAATCATGAGGGACCATTTTACCAAATTTCTGTCTTGTCAGGGACCACCTCATAATCGGTCAAAACCAGTTTGACTGCAAAAATCAGTTAAAATTGGTTTTGACCAAGGTGTGCAAGTAAAATTCGTGGACCACTTGGAATGCCTCCAGGGACCACCGGTTAAGAACCACTGCTCTAGATTCTAATATGTCGAACACGTGGAGGCGGGTCACCTCATACGGTCTTAGGCGGGTCCCGTGCGCGAGCCGACCACGTAGTAGCGTCGACCTCGTACGGGGTCACGGGGTCCCCGTGAGGTCCCAGGCTTACCATGGCTGCGTTGGGGGTTCACAGCGGGCCCACCACGTCGCCGACTATATTATTTTATTTAATTTAATAAAAATAGGCTGAAAAATAATACATGTATATCTAAAGTCATAATTATTATTTATATTGTCAATTAATGTTAAATTAATATGGAGAGCGGGGACAGTATTTATTTACTTAAAAGAATTCCCCGATCGCAATATAGAAATGTAAAAACACCTGGTTATGAATAATAACAATTGAATTTGACTATAAACACGCGCGCTCGATTGGACCCAAACACATAGTAGCGGTCAACCTCGTACGGAGTGACGGAATTTTGTGAGGACTCACCATAGGCAGGTGCAGCAGGCTGGAAGCGTTCACAGGCATAGTCGGGAACAGCGGGCCCACCACATCTCCCACTATGGACACGCGCGCTCGATTGGACCCAAACACGTAGTAGCGGTCGACCTCGTATGGAGTGACGGAATTTCGTGAGGACTCACCATAGGCAGGTGCAGCAGGCTGGAGGCGTTCACAGGCATAGTCGGGAACAGCGGGCCCACCACATCTCCCACGCGCGCTCGGTTGGACCCGAACACGTAGTAGCGGTCGACCTCGTACGAGGTCACGGGGTCTATAAGGACTTACCATGGGCAGCTGCAGCAGGCTGGAAGCGTTCACAGGCATGGTCGAGAACAGCGGGCCCTCCACGTTGCCGACTATCGACACACGCGCTCAACTTGACCCGAACACGTAGTAGCGGTCGACCTCGTACGGGGTCTGTAAGGACTCACCATAGGCAGCTGCAGCAAGCTAGAGGCGTTCACAGGCATAGTTGGGAACAGCGGGCCCACCACATCTCCCACTCGCACGCGCGCTCGATTGGACCCAAACACGTAGTAGCGGTCGACCTTGTACGGGGTCACGGGGTCTGTGAGGAGAGGACTCACCATGGGCAGCTTCAGTAAGCTGGAGGCGTTCACAGGCATGGTCCGACGATGGACACGCGGTCGCGGTTAGACCCGAACACGTAGTAGCGGTCGACCTTGTACGGGGTCACGGGGTCTGTGAGGACTCACCATGGGCAGCTTCAGTAAGCTGGAAGCGTTCACGGGCATAGTCGGGAACAGCGGGCCCACCACATCTCCCACGATGGACACGCGCGCTCGGTTCGACCCGAACACGTAGTAGCGGTGGACCTCGTACGGAGTGACGGGGTATATAAGGACTTGCCATGGGCAGCTGCAGCAGGCTGGAAGCGTTCACAGGCATGGTCGGGAACAGCGGACCCTCCACGTTGCCGACTATCGACACGCGCGCTCAACTTGACCCGAACACGTAGTAGCGACCTCGTACAGGGTCACGGGATCCCCTCAGGCGAGGTCACAGGCTTACCATGGGCAGCTTCAGTAGACTGGAGGCATTCACAGGCATGGTAGGGAACAGCGGGCCCACCACATCTCCCACTATTGACACGCGCGCTCGGTTGGACCCGAACACGTAGTAGCGGTCGACCTCGTACGAGGTCCCACGACGTCACAGACTTACCATGGGCAGCTCCAGTAGACTGGAGGCATTCACAGGCATGGTAGGGAACAGCGGGCCCACCACATCTTCCACTATTGACACGCGCGCTCGGTTGGACCCGAACACGTAGTAGCGGTCGACCTCGTACGAGGTCCCACGACGTCACAGACTTACCATGGGCAGCTTCAGTAGACTGGAGGCATTCACAGGCATGGTAGGGAACAGCGGGCCCACCACATCTCCGACAATGGACACACGCGCTCGGTTCGACCCGAATACGTAGTAGCGGTCGACCTCGTACGGGATGACGGGCGTTTCCGTGACGTTGATGTGCATGTATTGGAACACGTAGGCGCGGTTCGACAGGTCCAGGAGGATGGACTGGTGCCGGTGTTGTGGGAGGCCGTCCGCCTGTGGAGAATACAAACATATTTAGAAATATAATTTATTTATTTAATGAAAGAAACATACAGCTTTCCATGCCAAAGGACAATGTTCATTTCTGGCCTGGCGTGGACAAGCTGCTAATGAAAATATGAATTTGCCAAAATTTTTTAATTAATTTTTAAAATATTCACTTAGTATAACTTTGTATCAATTTGCCTTTATAAAAATCAAATTTAAATAGTACTTTATGTGATAATTACAACTTCCTGTCTTTAACACTCAATTCAGTGTTGCCAAAATGAATCTTATCGGTAAGAATCGATTCATATCGATTGTTTTTCGACTATGACAATTAGTATTTTTTTAAATACGTATTCAGTAAAATGACATTTATTAAACCTTTTTAATATTCCAATAACACTACCAAAAATATTTAAATAACTAAATGAAACCTTATTTCACACACACCTTATTATACACCTTATTTCGAGTCATCAAAAAATACAATCGATTTTTATATCGATTATTTTTATTCATCACCCCATTATTAGCATGGCAACACTGAAAATATTGTCACAGCTGTTATCTGTCATTCGCTTTGTTTTGTATTTTTCATCGTAAGTGTTGTTTAGTTCTCAAAACCAAGTCTTTGCCAAAATAAAAGCAGAAGAGTGTTGTATAAGTTTCCCTTTTGACGACTTTATTTTTTTGACCGTGGTCCTCGATGCTTCTCTTCCCGATGACCCTGGCATACTGTCGAACTACGAATCTCACTCAACCAATGACCAATGGATCACTTTCGGACATCGAACCTTGCCTAAACGCCGACCACGGCTTACGTATGGACTCCGACCCGAGCCCCAATGTTAACCCCAGCCCGATTTTGGATAATGCAACCAGAATTCCTCAATCTCATGAGGAACCTATACCTATGATATGTATCAATTGTATAGCTGACATGATGCAGAGGAGGCGACATAGCCTAGAGCTTATTAAGTTCAGTTGGTTATAATGTCAGTGGATGACTCCTCAGCTGGTAAGTTATTGAATGAGCGTGTGGACTTGTTGCATACCTTTTACAATGTATTTGATCAACTACCTTTACCGTAGATTACCATAATCCTAATAAAACTTTTTTTTTAGATTGATAACAGCAGTGTATGTTGTCACTCATGTTGGACTGTGGCCACGGTGTGGCTCTGCACCAATCAAGGACAAATAATATTTCAAATGAAGAAGCAACCACTAGCACTGGTCACAGTTAACGTGGATTATCTTTGTTACAAATATGTTCCATAGACTGCATATTAACACGGAAAGAGAATCACATATTCGAAAATAATGGAACAGATTTCACCTTGTCAAGTAAGCTTCTTTATAATTATTTTCATTATATTTTTTTCTTTACAAATACTTCTTACTGATAGATAAAAATTGACATCACATCTCAATATCTTAAATAATGAATTTTGAATGATACCATAATTAATTTCTTTGTTTCAGCTGCGGGGATCTGACCAAATATGTCATCCCTGATGACAGTGAGCTGATCGAGCTGCTACACATGCTGTGGAGCCCCAAGAAACACATGATGGGACGAGGATTCATTTGCCCTGATATTGGCCGAATAGCAGTAGGTTGCTGTGCTCATGTTATGACAATTTTGTGGTTTTTGAGCTGGGCAAGGTATCAGGAACATGTATTTCCACCTGCCTAGTTCCTAGACAATATTTTATTGACCCATAAGTCAGATTAAAATAATAATAATAATCGAACTACGAATCTCACTCAACCAATGACCAATGGATCACTTTCGGACATCGAACCTTGCCTAAACGCCGACCACGGCTTACGTATGGACTCCGACCCGAGCCCCAATGTTAACCCCAGCCCGATTTTGGATAATGCAACCAGAATTCCTCAATCTCATGAGGAACCTATACCTATGATATGTATCAATTGTATAGCTGACATGATGCAGAGGAGGCGACATAGCCTAGAGCTTATTAAGTTCAGTTGGTTATAATGTCAGTGGATGACTCCTCAGCTGGTAAGTTATTGAATGAGCGTGTGGACTTGTTGCATACCTTTTACAATGTATTTGATCAACTACCTTTACCGTAGATTACCATAATCCTAATAAAACTTTTTTTTTAGATTGATAACAGCAGTGTATGTTGTCACTCATGTTGGACTGTGGCCACGGTGTGGCTCTGCACCAATCAAGGACAAATAATATTTCAAATGAAGAAGCAACCACTAGCACTGGTCACAGTTAACGTGGATTATCTTTGTTACAAATATGTTCCATAGACTGCATATTAACACGGAAAGAGAATCACATATTCGAAAATAATGGAACAGATTTCACCTTGTCAAGTAAGCTTCTTTATAATTATTTTCATTATATTTTTTTCTTTACAAATACTTCTTACTGATAGATAAAAATTGACATCACATCTCAATATCTTAAATAATGAATTTTGAATGATACCATAATTAATTTCTTTGTTTCAGCTGCGGGGATCTGACCAAATATGTCATCCCTGATGACAGTGAGCTGATCGAGCTGCTACACATGCTGTGGAGCCCCAAGAAACACATGATGGGACGAGGATTCATTTGCCCTGATATTGGCCGAATAGCAGTAGGTTGCTGTGCTCATGTTATGACAATTTTGTGGTTTTTGAGCTGGGCAAGGTATCAGGAACATGTATTTCCACCTGCCTAGTTCCTAGACAATATTTTATTGACCCATAAGTCAGATTAAAATAATAATAATAAAAAAAAATGGTGTTTTATTTTGCTTCTAACCTTTCTAGTCTTAAGCAAAAAAAAAAATTTTTAAGGACTTGGATACAAAATGATGTTTATATTCTGTTTCTTACTGGTATAGACTATTTAATAAATAACAAATTACATGCTGTAATGTCTGTCCACCTCAGGCCAAAGGTCCCATACTAAGTGGGCATAACCCTTTGGAAGCATACACATAATAATAATATACAGCACTAAGGCTGAATTGCACCAACTTACTTTAACCGTAACTATAACAATAACCAGTCTTTTTTATATAGAGTTTGAGAGATTTTTGACGTTTAAAGTTAAAGTAAGATGCTGAAACTCAACCTAAGAGACACAGATTAGCAACCCTGCTAGCACGTGTAGCCACCTAGGTCATACGTCATCGCATCAACATCGGTTTCTTCACCGCATGGTAGCACCTGCCGCGCGTCCGGACTGAATGACGCCGGCGGTGGGTGACGTCACATGCGTAAGAGCAGTGACGTGCCGATCCACATGAGTCCTCGACGCGCACTGAAGGAGACAACGGGTACGCGCCGTATTTATGTGGTGAAGATACAACTGCGGCGGTCTACCTACACTAGCGAGCTATGCGATACGTCCGCCGTTTCATCTTGACGACTCACTATTTGTGATGATATCTATATATATAAAAGAAAGTCGTGTTAGTTACTCCACTTATAACTCAAGAACGGCTGAACCGATTTAGCTGAAAATTGTCAGCCAGGAGAAGGACATAGGATACTTTTTATCCCGTTCGAAATTAAAAAAAAAGTCTGCTTATTTATTGCCATTAAGGCGGAACAAAGTTCGCCGGGTCAGCTAGTTCTATCTATTATATAAAAGAAAGTCGTGTTAGTTACTCCAGTTATAACTCAAGAACGGCTGAACTGATTTAGCTGAAAATTGTCAGGGAGGTAGTTTAGAGCCAGGAGAAGGACATAGGATACTTCTTATCCCGTTATTTATTGCCATTAAGGCGGAACAAAGTTCGCCGGGTCAGCTAGTCTACGATATAAAAACCCTGGTTTTGGAAATAAATTCAGTCTTATTAGGGCATCCGAGTTTACTCACCGTCTATGTACAACTAGTACAAGTATACTAAGCACGTACCAGCACGTTGATTGTCTTGGTGTAGTGGTGCTGGCCCATGAGCGTGGAGGCGTGCAGGCGCACGCGCACGCGGCCCAAGCGCGTGGCAACCACGGGCACGTGCACGGTGGCCGCGTCGCCCGCCGCGATCCACACGTGACTGGTGCTCGCCGGGTGACACTATGTTACACGTACCAGCACGTTGATTGTCTTGGTGTAGTGGTGCTGGCCCATGAGCGTGGAGGCGTGCAGGCGCACGCGCACGCGGCCCAAGCGCGTGGCAACCACGGGCACGTGCACGGTGGCCGCGTCGCCCGCCGCGATCCACACGTGACTGGTGCTCGCCGGGTGACACTATGTTACACGTACCAGCACGTTGATTGTCTTGGTGTAGTGGTGCTGGCCCATGAGCGTGGAGGCGTGCAGGCGCACGCGCACGCGGCCCAAGCGCGTGGCAACCACGGGCACGTGCACGGTGGCCGCGTCGCCCGCCGCGATCCACACGTGACTGGTGCTCGCCGGGTGACACTATGTTACACGTACCAGCACGTTGATTGTCTTGGTGTAGTGGTGCTGGCCCATGAGCGTGGAGGCGTGCAGGCGCACGCGCACGCGGCCCAAGCGCGTGGCAACCACGGGCACGTGCACGGTGGCCGCGTCGCCCGCCGCTATCCACACGAAGAACTGGTGCTCGCCGAATGACGTGCGCGGGTTGTAGGAGCGCACCTGAAGATGATAAGTTAGGAAATGTCATTATAGTCGACACTGTCAACCCATCTCGCTCGCAGTCGCATGTCACAAATCTCACGTCTCGCTCAGATATTCGTACACCTTTTCAGGCGTGATCGACTGTACTAAAGTGAACTAAAAGACCGATTTGAACGATCAAGACGCAATAGTTCGTTCTCGTTCACCTAAAGGAATTGCTTCCTAATGGCACATAGTACATGTACTACTCAAGCCTAGTCGCACTATAGGTCTTAGCTGAGTTAGAGCCTAATGTATGGTAACGGCATGGGAGGGGTGATGTTTTGACACAGTGTGACGTGACAGGGCATACAAATGTGAAGTCTCGCTGACATTAGACGAAACAAAAAACACCCTCCTGTGCCGCTCAGGCACTGACTGTCACTTTTTAAATGTCATTATGGTCGACAGTAAAAGTTACTAAGAGACAGGGTTACCGCAAGTGCCTCAACGTATTCCCGTCAAGATGACAGAGGAACTCAAATGCAACAAAGACTCTATGTTTGGCCAAAAGTTAACAGTTTTCAAGTTATTCCGAATTTTAAGATTTAAAAAAATATCCAATTTTGCAAAATTATTTAAAAAATGGCACCTTGAATGACTTTCTACCTAATTTATTTTTGTAGAGATTTATGTAACAAAACATAATAAAGATATTGCACTCGTCTCTACCATAACAATTCCAAAAGATTAGCAAAATTAAACTGTACCACAATACACATAAGATCCACAACGCTACTCACAATGCCATTCTCCTCAACGTGCACGAACTTGTAGTCGCTAGATGCAGCCAACACCACGACGGCTTCTATAGCTTGCGGCTGGTAGTTGAACACCACCACTCGCAAACCTAGTTGCTCGCCCTGTCTGCACTCGTCGGGGCCTTCTACCTTGATGAAGAATGGTAACACGCCCGAGTACTGGAGAATAGAGAATTTTATAGTTACGTGGATGTTACAAAATAATTTGGAGGCGACAGTAGATTAATGATACAAATTTTATAGTTAGGTCCGGTTTTCACCAAGGCGGAGCAGAACGAAGATGTGTTCCTCCACAAAAATTAGTCTGTCTGACACTTCTCTGTTCTTTTCCGCTCCGCGTTGGAAACTGAGCCTTACGGGACAGTTATAAAATAAAACGAAGGCGACAGTAGATTAATAAGACACTTGTTACTTACGCGAATAGGTGTGTGTAACATGCCCAATCCCAATGTCGGTGACATACTAAACGCGGATATAGTCCAGTGAGCAGGAACCTGTAATAAAAATAAAATATAAATTCTCCTGAATTTGCCACATAGTGTAGCACACCTCGGTCTTAGCTCTTTGTGTAACGGCGTTGCGCAACACAAAGCGTGAAAATATTCTTTTATATTTTTTGTATGATGTGTGACATATTAGGGTGGTGATGCAGCGAACGTCGTAGCACAGTAAGGGACCCTTCACAGCTTCACAGTCTTTCGAGCGTGTCGTCTTGCCAACGCCCACGCAGTTTCAAAACGGTACTGAGTACGGGGTCGCGTCCGCGCGTAAGAAACGCATCGTTTTTCTCGGAAAAAGTGAAACCTATCTCGCTATACTCAGCTTTGGCATCGCGACGATACGACGACATTCGAAAGACGCTGTGCGGGGAAGGCCTCATCGTCATCATTTTAGCCAAAGGACGTCCACTGCTGAACATAGGCCTCCCCCAATGATTTCCACAATGGCCGGTTGGTGGCGGCCTGCATCTAGCGCAGCGATTCCCAAACTTATTTTGTCTGCTGCCCACTTTGAGAATATATTATTTTTAGCGCCCCCATTTGTAGTCGAGTGTCGAATGCTCAGTCGGTGTCTAAGAGTCCTCCTAGTAAATGACGCCTCCCAAGCCTCTATACAACGTCCCGATTTTTTTTTCTGGGTCTCTTACCGCCCCCCTTTAAGCCTGCAGCGCCCACAAGGGGGCGTTATCGCCCACTTTGGGAAAGACTGATCTAGCGCCTTCCCGCTACCTTTATGAGGACGTTGGTCCACCTTGAAGGTGGGGAAGGCCTATGTGCCACTAAAACTCGGCCTGAACTTCAACCACACAAAGTAATAGTAAACATAGGGTCTGGAAAAGGTTTAGAGTATGCGCACACCGTTGATTTTTCGTCGGCCGGTAGTTTAGTCGGGCAGTTGATCAGTATGGGCATGTATGGGAGTGCGCACACTACGCCGATTCGATTTGGCCGATTCTTCATACAATTTGAAATCGGGCACAACTATCGGCCAACTAAAAATCAACGGTGTGCGCCTACTTTTAGTAGAATGTAATTTGTACCTGCGGCACGTCGACGGTGAGCACGGTGCGGCCGTGCGGGCCGATGTTGATGTCGCGCCACAGCCACACGTTGTCGTACTGGCGCTGCACGCGGTTGAAGCGGAACTGACGGAAGTGGCTCAGCTCGAACCAGTCGTCGTGCTGGCCTGCACGGGGACACGAGTTAGCACATGCACCCTATGAGTCTTAGATATGAAATAGTAAAGTTGCAGCATAACAATAATAAGAAAATAAAACTGTAAGAGACAATGATAAGCATGTATAAAACAAACAAACAAAAGTAGTGTGTACAATAGGGATGTTTCCTGGGTCAAAAAGCAAGAGTTTTAATTAGTCCGTCAGTTAACTTATCAAAAAATACTCTTCACGTATTTTTCACTTTTTCAAACTAATGAAAATTTAAAGAGATAAAGCGCGCCAAAGTTCATAAGAAGAGGCCCGTGACGTCAATGCGTGCATAAAAGTGCCGCACGTTGTGACGTCGTGCGGAACTTCAACGCACCATAACTATGTAATTATTTGTTAGATTGACAAATAAAAATATATGTGTCCAATATTTTTTGATATTAAACATGACGGACTAAAAAAATTTTTTTAGGAAACTAGCCTTCAATGTTTTATTAATAAATTAAACACCAAATCAACAAAAATCTGCTTTAGAATCTTAGAGTGGGCCCAAGTACTAGAAGAGACAATATTTACAAATTCATCCAGCGACTTGACCCGTGATGACGAATTTTACACGCAACTTTCGGATGTGAGTAGTTCGGAATGAGGGTTTTCGCGAATGAAAAATCCGCCAGATGGCAATACGTAGACGCGAGGTCCAAATGCTGCATGATTGGTTATTTTTGACATGACATTGACAGATATGTCAAAATCCACCAATCACGCAGCAGTCAGACGCCACATCCACGTCCCGCCTTCTAGCGGATCTTTCATTTGCGAAAACCCTCATTGAAATGATCCCGCTACATTATCTTTTTTATTACGTCGGTGCAACTACTGCACGTGATGCAAAAACGGTGTCTCTTAATATGTCAATTCACGCGCAGAATGCAATCTTGAGTCACTTAAGAAATTACATATTATTTGACATTAACTTCCTTACAAATTTTCAACACTCATCATATCGGCTATCATCAAACTCTTTACAAAGACATTAAGTCTATCACCCTTCAAATAAGACTCACAGTTAGATTCATCAGTGCGGTCGCTACAGTCGACCTTCCCGTCGCAGCGCGAGGACTGGTGGAAGCAGCCGCCTTCTAAGCACTCGAGGAAACCCGCGGTGGCGTTGCAGGCCGACGGCCGTCGCGGGACTGCCACGTCACTGAATACTACTAGGCCTGCGTATCTGTGGGAAACAGGGCCGTTTGTTGATTGAGATAAATACAGGGTGGAAACGATAAGTGATCTCACTCGATTATTTCTAAATTATACAAGTTATCGAAAAACTGGTTACTGAACTTGAAAATGCTTCACGAGCTCTTTCGAACTGTATCAGTTATAAGTAACAGAATTAACTGGATCTATCCGAAAATTAAATGTTTTCAGCATCCATACTAAATGTATGCCAGCCACACAATATTAGAAGTGTTAATTTTTTTATTAAATAATAAACACTTAAAATAAACTCGTAAATTGCATTGTTATTTATAATTATTCATGGAAAAAATTGGTTTTATTTAAGCTTTACTTGCTCATTATATTATCAAGACATGAGTGCTATGACTGTGGCAGTACTAAATGTATGGAAACATTAAATTTTCGGATAGATCCAGTTTATTTTGTAACTTATTATTGGTACCTTTGGATAGAGTTCGTGAAGCACTTTCAGGATCAGTAACCAGTTTTTGGACATCTTGTATAGTTTAGAAATAATCGAATGAGATCACTTATCGTTACCACCCTGCATAAAGAGTGTCTCAAAATTTGATGGGCTTGAAGCCCGGTTTCCACCAAAGCGGAGCCGCCACCGCTGTCAAATTGAATATAAAAATTTGACGGCCTAACACTACGCTCTCTGCCTTGGTGGAAACCGGGCCTAAGAATGGAAGAACTATTGGACAAGCCTATTAGGCCCATTAAAAATAGATTTGAAAAAAAAAAAAAAAAGAAATTGGTCATAATATCTTAAACTTATGAAACTTTTTTATGGACATTTAGGCTAGTTCGATGCGTCTTACGTCCTCTAATTAACAGCACACTCACTAAAAGGCACAAAGTTGTACCGGAGCACCCAATTAAAAGACATTGGCTGCTGCCTTTAATTTCGCGGGCAGCGATGGCATGATGATTTGTGTAAAATGAAATACTCGCCCTCGAAAACAGCGGCGCGAAAGAAGCGGAAGAAAGAAGACGACGAGCGGTGCACTCTGTCAAGCGGTGATCAAATTCGAGGCACCGGCCTAAGTGCCACTTGTGGCACGTCGAAGTGTTCCATCTTGGGACCACCTGCGACACAACACTCACTCGAAGGTGCGGTTGGCGTCCACGCCGAAGGTGGAGGCAGGGAAGTACACCAGCTCGTCCGCGTCGCCGAAGTGCGAGCGCCACGTGTACAGAACGTGCCATTAGTGGCACGTCGAAGGTTCCATCTGGGACCACCTGCGACACAACACTCACTCGAAGGTGCGGTTGGCGTCCACGCCGAAGGTGGAGGCAGGGAAGTACACCAGCTCGTCCGCGTCGCCGAAGTGCGAGCGCCACGTGTACAGAACGTGCCATTAGTGGCACGTCGAAGGTTCCATCTGGGACCACCTGCGACACAACACTCACTCGAAGGTGCGGTTGGCGTCCACGCCGAAGGTGGAGGCAGGGAAGTACACCAGCTCGTCCGCGTCGCCGAAGTGCGAGCGCCACGTGTACAGAACGTGCCATTAGTGGCACGTCGAAGGTTCCATCTGGGACCACCTGCGACACAACACTCACTCGAAGGTGCGGTTGGCGTCCACGCCGAAGGTGGAGGCAGGGAAGTACACCAGCTCGTCCGCGTCGCCGAAGTGCGAGCGCCACGTGTACAGAACGTGCCATTAGTGGCACGTCGAAGTGTTCCATCTTGGGACCACCTGCGACACAACACTCACTCGAAGGTGCGGTTGGCGTCCACGCCGAAGGTGGAGGCGGGGAAGTACACCAGCTCGTCCGCGTCGCCGAAGTGCGAGCGCCACGTGTACGCGAACGTGCCATTAGTGGCACGTCGAAGGTTCCATCTGGGACCACCTGCGACACAACACTCACTCGAAGGTGCGGTTGGCGTCCACGCCGAAGGTGGAAGTGGGGAAGTACACCAGCTCGTCCGCGTCGCCGAAGTGCGAGCGCCACGTGTACTGAACGTGCCATTAGTGGCACATCGAAGGACGCCATCTGGGACCACCTGCGACACAACACTCACTCGAAGGTGCGGTTGGCGTCCACGCCGAAGGTGGAGGCAGGGAAGTACACCAGCTCGTCCGCGTCGCCGAAGTGCGAGCGCCACGTGTACGCGAACGTGCCATTAGTGGCCTCGTCGAAGTGCGCCATCTTGGAGATAACCTGCGCAACACACAGTTTGTTTCAAATTTTAATTCGTTATTGGGAACTAAGTGGCATAAAAAATATAATACAGAGTAGAAAATTATCTTCAACAGCAACAGCATGATGAGGATTTGGCCTACACGTAAGGGGCATATTAAATCACAAGTGGTACGTTAGTTGAAAAAGCCAGCTTTGTTTTGCCGGAATCACACAGTCTAAGGCCCGGTTTCCACCAAGGCAGAACAGAATGAAGCAGAGCGAAGTGTTTTGAATAACCAATTAGATTTCAGAGAATAAAGAATAACCAGCAACATATAATTTCATATTCACCCAGTTCACATGTAATTTGCTTACTTAGTTTTGAATTGTTTTAGTGTTCACCTACCTACCCACGTTAACTTATTTAAAAATGTTTTAGTAATAGAATGTGTTTCTTTAATTGGCTTATGTTCAAGTTGTATCTTCCTGCACATTTATGTAAAATTTAATGCTGTTGAAACATTGTTAAACAAATAAAATAAAATAAAATAAATAAAATATTATTTCCACTCCTCCTCTCCAATCCAATCCGTGCCGTGCTGCCGCCGCTATCAATTTCTATCTAAAAATTAGTCCACCCGGCACTTTTCCGCTCTGCTCCGCTTTGGTAGAAATCGGGCCTTAGTCGTCAATTTATGTATAAGCCAGCTTACCTTGGCGTAGGTGAGCTCGTTGCCGGCCTGCATGGTGAAGAAGGCGTCGTCGATGGCCGACAGCCCGACGTACGCGCCGGGCTCGCCGTACACTGCCACTTCCACCCGCTCGCCTGTGCGGTGCTTGCGGTTGTTCACGTACACTGTGAACTGTGGGAACAACAAGGAATGTCAATAATACGCTTGATATATTACTACGCAGACGACATGACAGTCGTGTACAGTCAACGATAGCTCGTAACACCCAAAGTGTCCAAAAAGTTGACAACGTAACCTTATCCCATATGCTTGATATACTCCTACGCAGACGTCAGCCGAGCGTACAGTTAGCGTCAAATAGTTCGTGATGCCCAAAGTAGCCAAAAAGTTGGCAACACATGTTTGAGATGTTTGTAACAAAGGTGATTAAGTGACGCTGATTGCACAATGAATACAAATACGCGACAGTAAACGAGCGGCTGATGTTGGTGTCACAATGCGGTGCTTCAGTAATGTAATGTAGTGTTTATTGGAGAAGTAGGTACGCACGCAATCGATGTCAACGTAGAATATCAAGGATTAGCCCGGTGTAAATGCATATGACAGAAACCGACCTTGTAAAGTACAGTTTTATAAAGTATACACAAAGTCTTTCTATAAAATACCAAAATACACGAGAACGAAGCCGCGGCAAAAGGCAATAAAATCTTATCTTGGGCGTTGTCCCATTTCAGGCACAGTTTAACACGGCCAGTCCTCGATCTGTCAATAGGCCGTATAGGCCGCGGCCTAGGGGCGGCAGCGTCCTAGGGGCGGCAGATTTCAGATGACGCTTACTCGATTTCAGAAGACAAAAGTTAAATAAAGATCCAACCCCACCCTAGGCTACGAGCGGCAAAACTGTAAATCCGCCACTGTGTGCATATCCGCCGTGTTACACGGCTTACTCACGTTGTTGCGGGAGATGCCGTTGACGGGGAAGGTGAGCGAGTCGGCGATGACGTGGCGGCGGCGGTCCGCGCTCCACGCCACCACCGTCGCCACCGGCGCCATCTCCGCCGACACCGTCACGGCGAACGTGCGTACGCCGTCCTGTGGACAAAAGAGAATTCATTTTGTACATTCCTAAACTCTTAGTGAGCTGCCACACTGGCGGATTGCTAGCGAATTCAAAGCGGAGCGGCGCAGCGAACACTCCGCGGTGAAGAAGAAGAAAACTCTAAAGCCCGGTCTGTGAGCACGTAGAATTTTGTCCAATGACCCCAAGCTAGGGATATTCGATATACATCGATGTTTTGAAAACATCGATGTTTACAATGCGATACATCGAATGGATCCGATGTTTTGAAAAGCTATTGAAATACTCGATGTATCGATGTTTTTAAGTTTTCAGTGTTAAAACATCGAATCGATGATAACCAATTAAAATTTCATAAAACTCAAGTCTGACCACTAAAATTTTACTTATATGGACAACCCAACTTGTATTTTAAAAATGTTGGCAACACTGCGTACGAGTGCAGTGAGTATTGTCTCTAGTGACAATAAAAAAAAACTGTTATGTCAATGTCGCGTCACGCGTGTCGGTTGGCGAGTTTGTGTCAATCAACAAAAAAATAGGCTGAAACGCAAACGTTTAAATAAACTGTTGTTTTTGCAAAGTCTTCCAAAAGAACACTGGAAATATTTAGAATAGGTATAATAACAAACTTATTAAAATAAATGCGGATGTTTTTTTTTGTTCTTACTTTAAACAGTGTGAGTCACGTTAAAGTGTACATATGAAAATATGTGAAACTAGACCTATTTTTATCGACAAAAAAAGGTCAAAATTTTTTTGAGATTTTTTTTTCTTTTTAAAGATTTTTTTTTCTTACAATTACTTCTCGTAAAGAAAACGTAATAACTTTTAAAATAAGAGGTATATCCTGATAACATAAAAACAGTAATAATGCTAAATAACAGGCGATACTAAAAAAAAACATAAAACACCCAGAAAATGCCAACAAATAATAAAAAAAAATACTTTTTGAAAAAAATCTGCTTATAAATTCGTGTTTTTTTGGTTATTTGATAAATTTCTCCAAAAAATGCCCCTATAACAGGTATTTTTTATTACTTTGTATTATTCTCTATCGTATTACTTTTGTAAAACCAAAAATTGCATGTCTCTATCCCTATCACAACATTTGCTATGATCGTTTAAACAAAGGCCTGCCGCCACATTATTCTCCACTACAGGTAAAATGCTTATTTTACTTCGAAATCTTTTGTTTTTATTTGAAATGTAACTCGTCTTTATCAAAATTACAAATCTAGAGCCAGTTTCAGTTTCGTTGTTAACGAAGCGTTGAATGGCCCGCCCGGAGAGGCTTAGTTCAAACGATCATTGCAAACATTGTGATAGGGATAGAGACATGCGATTTTTGGTTTTACAAAGGTAATACGATAAAAAATAATACAAAGTAATAAAAACCACCTGTTATGGGGGCATTATTTGGAGAAATTTGTCAAATAACCAAAAACACGAATTTTAAAGCAGATTTTTTTCAAAAAGTAAGTTTTTTTATTATTTGTTGGCATTTTCTAGGTATTTTATGTATTTTTTTAGTATCGCTTATTATTTAGAATTATTACTATTTTCATTTGATAAGGATATACCTCTTAGTTTAAAAGTTATTACGTTTTCTTTACGAGAAGTTAATTGGAAGAAAAAAAATTCTATAAAAAAAAATCTCAAAATTTTTTGACCTCTTTTTTGTCGATAAAAATAGGTCTAGTTTCACCTTTTTTCATATGTGCACTTTAATATGACTCACACTGTATAATGAAGATTTTTCTCATGTATGGCTTTTACTGTTTTTTAATAATACAATGCTTAAATTAGTGGATTATAAAAAATCTTAAAAAAGTACTCGATTTATACAAAACATCGATGTTTTCTTCCAATACATCGAAAGAAATCGATGTACAGTTTCAAAATATCGAATCGAAAAAAACATCGATGTTTTTTCAAAGTGGACACCCCTACCCCAAGCTACCCATCCTTATCGCTCGCGCGTAATTATGTTGCTGTTGCGCTCGCACACTCACTGAGGGCGCCCGTCGCACAGTCGCGACAGCAATATAATTACGCGCGAGCGATAAGGATGGGTAGCTTGGGGTCATTGGACAAAATTCTACGTGCTCGCAAACCAGACTATATTATACTCGATTTTTTGGGCATCGCTGCCCGCAAAATTCAAGGCAGCGACCTTAAGGGCCTTGCCACACTGGCGGATTACAAGCGGTTTGAAAACTCTAGACGTTGCACATTCGCGACGTGTCCGCCGCATCGCTGCTCCGCGTTGAAAACGCTTGTAATCCACTTAACATCAGGTGCGATTGTGGTAAAAAAAAACTGCCTTGTTATGCATTAAAAAAAATCCGCGCGTATGGCAGCTCACTAAGCCTTTACTGGCCAGTCTAGAATGAGCAACACGGCGCAATCTTATCGTCAATTTTAGACGAAAAATGCATGGGCTTATCGTCTAAGGAAAAAAAATTACGTCAAACTTTACCTGCATGATCTCTTGCGCCGTCGTCAAAATGATGCCTTTGGACATCACCACATAGTTGAAAGTTTCCATGTAGAAGTTGCTTTGCACGTGGAATATTATGTACTCGCCGACCTATAACAAATAAATATATTTATAACATCAGTTTTATCCAGAAGACAAGGGAAAAAAATTGTAAAACTTTATTTTTCGGCATAGCGTTCTTTCAACGGGCCCTGTATCAAAATTTTTTTTGGGAGCCTTTGCAACTAAAAAAAGGCTATTGATAAGTCAAGAGGTCCTTTACTTTTCAAAAACGGTTATTGTAAAATTAGTACATATTATTTATTAAACAGATAGGATCCCCATCGATCGCGGGACCCTGGTTACCCCAGGACCCCTGGGCCTGTTCTGTTGAATGGTTCATTCGACCCTTGTAGCTTGAGGGCCCAGTATAATACGGCTGATATGGCAGTAGCTACGCCCCTGCTGGTGCCACCGTTAGGCTGCTACTCGGTGCAGGCGCCCCAATCTGGGTTCCCTATGTTTTATCGAAAGCCGTTTCATCGAATGACATAACATCCAAAAGTCATTATATCGATGGTAAAAACATCGAATGACCGTAATATCGAATGTTCAATGGTCCCTTCCTAGATCCATCTCTGTTGGCATGGGTGGCACTGACCCTGGCGTCGGTGGTGGAGGTGGAAATGCGCAGGTGCTGGTCGCGCGCGCTGTAGTGCGCCACGAAGTGCGCGTCGGCCGCGGCGTGCTGGCCGCGCGCGTCCGCTAATTGCGCGCTCAGTCGCACGCCCGTGATGCTGTTGCCCATATCTTGTCCCAAAGTGTTGGTAGGGCGAACTATATTTGGGACGTGTTTAAGTGCCCTGGAGGGGGCCTATGTACCGAACCATCATCATCATCATCATCATTTCAGCCATAGGACGTCCACTGCTGAACATAGGCCTCCCCCAATGCTTTCCATGTTGATCGATTGGTAGCGGCCTGCGTCCAGCGCTTCCCTGCTACCTTTACGATGTCGTCGGTCCACCTTGTAGGTGGACGTCCCATCCAATCCATCATGTACCGAATAAAGTATTGAATAGACAGTTTGACACCATACCCCAATAATTCGAAACCACAACTGTTTTAAAAAGACTCTTCATTCTGGTCTTCAAAACCTAATTTATTTTAAATTACCCGTAAATTTCGATTTTTGTTCGAATTGTAATTGAAAAAAGTAGTTTAATTGGGTTGACAGAATAGTGACGTCACTTGCTTGTAGTGCCATACAAAATCTATGGGAGAGTTTCGTTTTGACATTTTTAAAAAGTATGTCAATGAGGGCTATCGTTTTTATACTTAACAGTTGGCACCCCTGGCGATTGACAGGACCTTACTCTACAGTGGCGCCATCTTGATGAGTGCAAATGCGATAGTCCTCCTACCACTTTAGCGCTCACCAGTTTGTGCCACTGTCTTCGCTACTAGCAAGTGACAGGACCTTACTCTACAGTGGCGCAAACTGGTGAGCGCTAAAACGATAGCCCTCATTGACTGTGGTGTCAAAATGTTTATTCCATGGCACTGACCCTGGCGTCGGTGGTGGAGGTGGAAATGCGCAGGTGCTGGTCGCGCGCGCTGTAGTGCGCCACGAAGTGCGCGTCGGCGGCGGCGTGCTGGCCGCGCGCGTCCGCTAATTGCGCGCTCAGTCGCACGCCCGTGATGCTGTTGCCCATATCTTGTCCCAAAGTGGTGGTAGGGCGAACTATATTTGGGACGTGTTTAAGTGCCCTGGAGGGGGCCTATGTACCGAACCATCATCATCATCATCATTTCGTCGGCCGTTTGGTGTAGTGGTTCAGAACGGACTACTAAGCCGAGAGGTCCCGGGTTTGATTCCCGGCCGGGCAGAAATTGAAATGATGAATCCCATCAAAAACAATACTTGTCAAAAAAACCAAGTCTCGCAACTCAGTTGTTCTACGGTAAAAAGTTGTGAGATCCATGTAATACCAAGTCCAGGCCAGGAAATCTTTAACGTTTTACATAAATATATTGACTTGGCCATCGCACTAAATAATTTAATTTACACGTGTTTTCATGCGATGGCCAAGTCAATATTTTATGTAAAACGTTAAAGATTTCCTGGCCTGGACTTGGTATTACATGGATCTCACAACTTTTTACCGTAGAACAACTGAGTTGCGAGACTTGGTTTTTTTGACAAGTATTGTTTTTGATGGGATCTCATTTCTTTTTGTATTTTGTAGACAGCAGTTATGTATCTAGAAAACTGGACCGAAATTGAAAAATTTTACTCGACTTGGCGGTTGCACTACCGTGCCCCCAAATCTCATTTCTTTTTGTATTTTGTAGACAGCAGTTATGTATCTAGAAAACTGGACCGAAATTGAAAAATTTTACTCGACTTGGCGGTTGCACTACCGTGCCCCCAAATATTTTAGTTTTTCCTTGATTCATACACCAAACACTACTTATATTCCAAATTTGAAGCTTCTAGGTCTGCTAGAAGTGCCTTAGAGTTTTGATGATCGGTGAGTCAGTGAGTCAGTCAGTGAGTCAGTGAGTGACAAAATTAAGTAACTTTGACCCGTTATAATTCTTAAACTACTGGTTCAAATTGAATGAAATTTTAAATATACCGTGTCTTTACAATTCCTGCATAGCTAATGAAAATTCAGCCTTCTAGTTTTATCCACAACGAAGTTACAGGCGGTCGAAAATGGCCTGAATTGCTTCGAGAAAAGGATGGTACGGCCGTGCCGCTTTTTTGCTCGACTTGGTGGGGGCACTGCCGTGCCCCCAGATTTTAATTTCTGTGACGGGTCTGGGTGTGACTATGTTTAATATTTATGTATTTAAAAAAAAAAGTATATAAGTAGTATATCCGTTAAGCTAGCACCCATAACTCAAGCATTAAGTTGCTTACTTTAGGGCAAGCTGGCGCTGTGTGAAATTGTCCAAAGATTTATTATTTCAGCCATAGGACGTCCACTGCTGAACATAGGCCTCCCCAATGCTTTCCATGTTGATCGATTGGTAGCGGCCTGCGTCCAGCGCTTCCCTGCTACCTTTACGATGCCCTTACGGTGGACGTCCCATCCAGTCCATCATGTACCGACAGTGGCGGCGTAGCATGGGTTGGCACCCGGGGCGATCACCCCCCGTCATAAGTCCTAAGACACCCCCTGGTACCCCCCAGGATTTTAGGGTTACCTACCGATTCGAAGATTGAAAGACAATCACACCCCCCACCCCCCGTATCATGACATAGACCGCAGATTTGCCATGCAGATGTGCCAGTGAGTAGTAATCTGCGCGACTTGTGTCACCCCCTGATGCTTGGCACCCGGGGCGGACCGCCCCCCCCTTACGCCGCTACTGTGTACCGAATAAANGTTACCTACCGATTCGAAGATTGAAAGACAATCACACCCCCCACCCCCCGTATCATGACATAGACCGCAGATTTGCCATGCAGATGTGCCAGTGAGTAGTAATCTGCGCGACTTGTGTCACCCCCTGATGCTTGGCACCCGGGGCGGACCGCCCCCCCCTTACGCCGCTACTGTGTACCGAATAAAGTATTGAATAGACAGTTTGACACCATACCCCAATAATTCGAAACCACAACTGTTTTAAAAAGACTCTTCATTCTGGTCTTAAAAACCTAATTTATTTTAAATTACCTGTAAATTTCGATTTTTGTTCGAATTGTAATTGAAAAAAGTAGTTTAATTGGGTTGACAAAATAGTGACGTCACTTGCTTGTCATACAAAATCTATGGGAGAGTTTCGTTTTGACAGTTTTAAAAAGTATGTCAATGAGGGCTATCGTTTTTATACTTAACAGTTGGCACCCCTGGCGATTGACAGAAACTTACTCTACAGTGGCGCCATCTTGATGGGTGCAAATGCGATAGTCCTCCTACCACTTTAGCGCTCACCAGTTGGTGCCACTGTCTTCGCTACTAGCAAGTGACAGGACCTTACTCTACAGTGGCGCAAACTGGTGAGCGCTAAAACGATAGACCTCATTGACTGTGGTGTCAAAATGTCTATTCCGTGGCACTGACCCTGGCGTCGGTGGTGGAGGTGGAAATGCGCAGGTGCTGGTCGCGCGCGCTGTAGTGCGCCACGAAGTGCGCGTCGGCCGCGGCGTGCTGGCCGCGCGCGTCCGCTAATTGCGCGCTCAGTCGCACGCCCGTGATGCTGTTCAGCACGTCGCGGTAGTTCGGGTCGCGCTCCAACTCTGTAAGGAGACGATGAGTTAAAGCGTCAGTTCGGGAGAGAGATAGAGTTTTCACCATCAATCCTTATACAGTGTGTCCGGGCTTGTAGTGATCAAACTTTAAGGGCGTAATCTATGGACAATTTTATCGATGAAAATACTTCAAATTTGGGGCCTGACCCATTTCTCGAAAAATTACATCGATTTAAGTTTTTAATTTTTAGTTTTCACCTTTTCCTTCAAAAACAAGTGAAAGCGTGGGTAGCTTAACATTAATAAGCAAATATTTTATATCACGCGATAGCCAATAAAATTATCTATTAGCAGAAGTAGAAAACAGATACAAGTTTCATACATTTTAAGGGAGTAAGAATGGATTTAATTAGAAAAAAACATGACTTTTTTCACTTCTTTTTCAGTTATTTTCCAACACAAGAAAAACCAGGTCGTTAAGGTATGTTTTATTTGCATTGTATTATTAGTATTTGAGCTATTCTACAAAACGAATGTAAATTTATTAGTCTACGTCTATTAGTTTCGACGTAATTGTTGAACAAAGATACCCCTTCCCAGCGGTTTCCATAGCGCACGCGACATGCGAAAATGCACTGCCTGAAAGAATCACACAACCTATTCCGATTACTATGGAAACCGCTGGGAAGGGGTATCTTTGTTCAACAATTACGTCGAAACTAATAGACGTAGACTAATAAATTTACATTCGTTTTGTAGAATAGCTCAAATACTAATAATACAATGCAAATAAAACATACCTTAACGACCTGGTTTTTCTTGTGTTGGAAAATAACTGAAAAAGAAGTGAAAAAAGTCATGTTTTTTTCTAATTAAATCCATTCTTACTCCCTTAAAATGTATGAAACTTGTATCTGTTTTCTACTTCTGCTAATAGATAATTTTATTGGCTATCGCATGATATAAAATTTTTGCTTATTAGTGTTAAGCTACCCACGCTTTCACTTGTTTTTGAAGGAAGAGGTGAAAACTAAAAATTAAAAACTTAAATCCTCGTAATTTTGCGAGAAATGGGTCAAGCCCCAAATTTGAAATATTTTCATCGATAAAATTGTCCATAGAATACGCCCTTAAAGTTTGATCACTACAAGCCCGGACACACTGTATAATTTTTAAGTGACCCCTATGGTAACACATAGCAGGCATTTTGTTTTCATAAGGGTCACTTGAAAATTAGGGATTAATGGTGAAACGGGCATCAGTCTCTTATCTCTGTTGTGACGCGAACCGCCAGCTTAAGAGCGCTTTCAATGAACACACAATAAAATAGAAAATATTTATTTGTCTCAAATGAACAACAGCCATGTTTTTGTCACAGTGTTACTTTGGTAGGGGCGCTGCAACTGCGTTTCTAAAGATTGTATGAATACTATTAGTAATGTTATAGCTTTAAGTACATAATGGATACAATAAAATATTGAGTAGCGCGACAACACAGTGCTGCCACTGCAGAGCTTCCTCACGCGTTTAATTTGTAGGCGCCCTAAGCAGTATATGTAACACTCTTCGACAAGATGGAGCGAAGGATGAATAAGGAATTCGAATCGCGTTCTAGCTGGAATAGATTGAAGTTAGGTTGACGTTGAGCAAGCAACACGACACGCTATCCAGCCAGCTACAGACGAACGTTATACGTGACTAATGCAAACAACCATATTCCTACATTTCTCCCTTATTTTCTCCAGTTTCATTTCCTTGATTGATTAGGTCAAAATTATAATTTTCTTACAAGACTTCCCCTGACAATTAGGCTGAGTTGAATCACCTAAGTTTGACCGTAACTATAACGATAACCGGTGTTATTTGTATGGAGTTTGACAGATTTTTGACGTTTGTCGAAGTTAAAATAAGCTGGTGCAACTCGGCCTTAGATAATATATTAGTCCATGTACTTACTGAGCAGCTTGTACAAGTCCAGTCGCAGATGCCATACAGCCTCGTGTCCCGCTACTAGCGTGGGGTACTGTGGCTCTACGTTGCCTCCGCGACCCTCGACTTGAAGATTCACCACTAGTGATACGCCGGCAGCTTGCCATGGAGGCAGCGGCGAGCCGTCGTGATATGACACCACCATCTGTGGAGGGAAATTAATTAAACTTATATTATGAAACGACACTTATATTTATTAAGGGTTAACCTAATGTAGACTAAGCGATCATCAACAAACAGCACTCGAGCAAGAAAGTTGGGCTTGTACATTTTGCTTTAGATATCGAGCTAAAACCAAAGAATACCCGTACACTGCAGCTGGCCTGTTCTAAAAAGGATGGACACTCAAAATACTAAGGCCTAAACTCCAAAGCGAAGATGTTTTGCAGCTAAGGTGTATCCACCGAAGTGATGCTGACATGCGTAGAGCTCAGAGTAGTGCAGCTTCGATTACGCCATAACCATTGCTCTGTAATGTTTATAACACTTGACATATTAAAACATTAATTTCTCGACTCCCCTTTGGTGGAGTGCAAATCGTAAACTCAAGCAAAGATTCGAGTCTCTGTAATAGGTGTTAGATCAAAAAATCAGTTCAGTGTGATCAGTTGTCGCTGCACTTTTTAAATTAAAGGTCTAGGAATTACAGTATGTAACGTTTATACTCACGTAGACATCAAAAGGCATGGACGGCTTGAAGACCTGCGGCGTGCCACCCAACACCGACACCTGCAGCGAGGAGTTGAAGATCCTCGCGATACTGTAGCCCTTGAAGACCTCATCCAGAAATGGGTCGCCTACTGACCCTCTGATGATCACCCTTGCTAAGGATTAGAGTGGTAGCTAAAACGGTTCCATGGGTATACTCACGTAGACATCAAAAGGCATAGACGGTTTGAAGACCTGGGGCGTGCCTCCCAGCACCGACACCTGCAGAGAGGAGTTGAATACCCTCGCGATACTGTAGCCCTCGATGACCTCGTCTAGGAACGGGTCGCCTACTGACCCTCTGATGATTACCCTTGCTAAGGAGTAGTACAAGTAGAGAACACGTTTCCACGTGCAGCTACAACAATGTTGCCTTGCGTATACTCACGTAGACATCAAAAGGCATGGACGGCTTGAAGACCTGCGGCGTGCCTCTCAAAACTGACACCTGCAGCGAGGAGTCGAATATCCTGGCGATACTGTAGCCCTCGATGACCTCGTCTAGGAACGGGTCGCCCACGGATGCTGAGATGATCACCCTTGCTAAGGATTGGAGTGGTAGCTAAAACGTATCCATGCGTATACTTACGTAGACATCAAAAGGCATAGACGGCTCGAAGACCTGCGGCGTGCCTCCTAACACTGACACTTGCAGCGAGGAGTTGAAGATCCTCGCGATACTGTAGCCCTCGATGACCTCATCCAGAAATGGGTCGCCTACTGACCCTCTGATGATCATCCTTGCTAAGAAGGAGTAGTAGAGAACACGTTTCCACGTGCAGCTACAACAACGTTGCCTTGCGTATACTCACGTAGACATCAAAAGGCATGGACGGCTTGAAGACCTGCGGCGTGCCTCTCAGCACCTACACCTGCAGCGAAGAGTTCAAGGTCCTCGCGATACTGTAGCCCTCGATGACCTCATCCAGAAATAGGTCACCCACTGACCCTCTGATGATTACCCTTGCTAAGAAGTAGTGGTAGCTAAAACGGTTCCATGGGTATACTCACGTAGACATCAAAAGGCATGGACGGCTTGAAGACCTGCGGCGTGCCTCCCAGCACCGACACCTGCAGCGAGGAGTTGAATATCCTGGCGATACTGTAGCCCTCGATGACCTCGTCTAGGAAATGGTCGCCCACAGACCCTCTGATGATCATCCTTGTAAGGATTGGAGTGGTAGCTACAATCTTGCCATGTGTATACTCACGTAGACATCAAAAGGCATGGACGGCTTGAAGACCTGCGGCGTGCCTCCCAAAACTGACACCTGCAGCGAGGAGTTGAAGATCCTCGCGATGCTGTAGCCCTCGATGACCTCATCCAGGAAAGGGTCGCCCACAGATGCTGTGATGATGACCTCCACGCCGTCAAGGTCTGGTACTAGCTGCGCCAGCTCCGACATTGGGTATTTGAAGTCGTAGGTGCCGTTGAACTGTAAGAAAAATATTATTTAACATGCGTGTTTGTTTCGTATATCGGGGTCGAGAAATGAGTTCGAAGGCACATATCACATAACAAAACCAAGTATAGTCTTCAAACACATCGAAAGATACAACAATACTTGTGGTTACAATCAAAATGTCTATGGGATTGCGTTATAAACTCTAAGAGATCGTTGGCGCGCGTCGCGGCCATGGGCGGACTGACAATAAGGTCGAGTTTTGCAAACCACAAAACCGCGGCGACCTTTTGAAGGGCCGTTATACATGTGATTACAACTATAGTCTGGTCCGTGAGCACGTAGAATTTTGTCCAATGACCCCAAGCTACCCATCCTTATCGCTCGCGCGTAATTAATTATGTTGCTATCGCGCTCGCACACTCACTGCGGCTGCCAGTCGCACAGTCGCGACAGCAATATACCTAATTACGCGCGAGCGATAAGGAAGCTAAGGGTCATTGGACAAAATTCTACGTGCTCACGGACCGGGCTTTACATGGTTGTTTATTTACTAACTAAATACGTACTTTTGAAGGAACCCTAACCCCTCTGGTAAGCGTAGGGAGTGTACAATTCGAATAAAAAGGCTTCTTTATAGATTAAAAATAAAGACCTTGGTGCACCCGTTGTTTAATATCCAGCGCGGTTGTGATAAAAGTTTAAACTGGTAACACATTAACTTTATAAATTCTTAGCATGCTCGCCTGGATGGAACAAAGACATACACAAGGGCAGTGAATGGACGAGCATAACCTCTACGCTTAGAAATATGCTTTGGATAAGAGTTATGGCTAACTGTGGACTGACTTAGGCTGATGAGTGATGATGGTACATAAATTAAGGACAAACTGTTGGAAAATCTGAAAATGATAAAGTGAAATTGATCAACAGGAGTACTCACAAATCTCAAGTAAGGCAGCTGATCATAAGGTGTGTTGTAGTATCCGCTGTACGATGAAGTGCTGGTCTGATAGTTATTGTAGTCCGGGTTGTTCTGGTTGATGTACTGCAGTGGGTCTGGTTTTGTCATCCAGAATGGGTATTTTTCATCCTGGGGAAATAAAGACAGTTTGTTGGAAATAAACAGTAGTAGCAGTGAGAAGTAAGTAGTTAATGACAATAAGTAGTGTCTAACTGAACTTGACACTTCGCCTTCGTTCTACTATTATTTTACCAAAATAAGATGTATAGCTGACCCACGCTGAACTGTCCCACCAAACTCAATGACAGGGGGGCGCTACCATCGTTCAACTATATGGTTTCCAACATGGCCAAAATCGGAAGCAGCGATACGGTATTGACGGTGGCGCCCCACTGTCAATGACAGTTCAGTATTTTGGAACTATAAACCTGTGATGGCGGTTTATTTACTTATTTATATTAGGAAGACGAGTAAGCCTAGGATGCGCGCCGCGATAAGTGGTTATCGCGCCATTATATCGATTTTGCTCATACTTTTTGACGTCTTATCGATGAATAAGAGTATAATTATTACGGCGCGCATCTTAGCCCGAGAGGGTTTATCTTGGGCACGAATCAACCTCGCTTGAACGCTACCAACAAGCTTAGACCTAACAGATACTCACAAAATTGAACATCCTCGTCTTGACCTGCTGCAGGTCGTAGACCCAGTCGGGCTGGTCGATCTGGTTGTGCTGGCCGGGCAGCACTCGCCGCTCGACAGTGGCCCGTAGTATCGTAAGGCTGGTAGCCCTAGCTTGAACACTATAACAAGCTACAGATACTCACGAAGTTGAACATCCTCGTCTTGACCTGCTGCAGGTCGTAGACCCAATCTGGTTGGGCTGGCCGGGCAGCACTCGCCGCTCGACAGTGGCCCGTAGTAGTCGTTAGGCTGGTAGCCCTCGCTTAAACACTACTAACAAGCTACAGACACTCACGAAGTTGAACATCCTCGTCTTGACCTGCTGCAGGTCGTAGACCCAATCTGGCTGGTCGATCTGGTTGGGCTGGCCGGGCAGCACGCGGCGCTCGACCGCGCGTCCGTACTCGTCCATCGGCCCGTAGTAGTCGTACGGCTGGTAGCCCGACTCGTTGTACAGGTACGGGTTGTAGTTTGGACGGACTGGATAAAATAGAAAAGATTAATGCTTTGTGCGTGTGAGCGTTTGAGTGTGTAACAGCATTCTGAGGACCCTGGCGGACAGATACACATCGCCGCTATGGAAGTGTCTTGTGCAGAGACTGATCACGGGGCCTTATCCACCCCCATGATGGTCCGTCTCTGCACAGGGTACAAGTTTTTGAATTTGTTATTGTTTGTGTGTTTTTATTTTCGAACCCGTTTAATATGGACTTTTAAAATTGTCTGAAATAAAGAATATTTATTTATTTGTGATTAAAAAAGAAACGAAACAGCAGAGTAACACCGGTTTAGCACTAAAACAGCACAGTAAGAACAGTTCCGCACTACGTCCGATTATAATGCGTTTTGAATCCGTGAAAACAATACGCACTAGATCCGATATCTGTCATCCGATTTCTTTAGTAGTTTTCTAGGTCCGTATCCAGTCCTACGCGCTGAAATTACCCGACTTAATCAAGAAATACAGGACAGAGACCAGTGGGCGAGAGCAAATAACGTGGAAGTCCGTGGTATTCCCCTACGAAAAAATGAAAATCTGTACGAAATTATTCAACAGATCGGAAGATTGTGTGAATTCACGTGTAATAAAGAATCCATTAACTACATTGCACGCATACCTACTAGAGCAACAAACTCTGAAAAACCGATCATTGTGGCATTCAACAGTCGGTATTTAAAAGAGGAATTCGTAGCTTTGGCACGAAAGTGTAATGAACTAACACTATCGAAATTGGGATTCACCACCTCTGGAAAGTTCTATGTCAATGACCATCTCACGCCATACAATAAAATACTGCTAAGCAAAGCTAAAAAGTTGGCTAAGGAAAAAAACTTCCAGTATATCTGGGTAAAACATTGCAAAATAATGGCCAGGAAGTCGGACACATCACCAATTTTTCAAATAAAATCCGAAAAGGATTTGTCAAAAATATAATTATTTATTATTGCACTTTAAAATTGAAAATATTTATCTACAACTTAATTTTATTCAAAATGTTTATTTACAACTTTTCTGCAAGCAGTTTGAGAACCACATCCATAACCGGAACTTATTCAAAACCAGTTTATCGCACGAACACTGTCGGAGTCGTCAGCCGGTTAAGACACGTAAGTTTGCACTTATCCGCCCAACTTTCGGCCGCTTCCGCATGGATCTGCGGCGACTTTCGGGTCATTATTGAGTGCGCGCGCACTGCTTATGGGCGATATTTGCCTACGGAACGTCGCAACTATGACTGCGTAGCGTCTTTTGCTTTGCTTACGATGTTTTGCATTTGTACCTTATTTTTAAATTATTACAATTTACATCGGCAGTTATTTTTAGCGATTTGCTTTATTTGCTATGCATTTGAGTGGGTCAGTTACAATTATGTAATTCGTAACTGTGATTATATTGTGGATAATTCGGAATTTATATTTATTTTGTTTGTATATGGCTTTTATGCTTTTAGCTTTAGAGATGGCAAACCTTAGTGTATATTATCAGAATGCTCGAGGGCTACGCACAAAAACGCATACTTTTAAACGTAATTTACACTTGAATCAATATCACGTCGTTTCATTGACCGAGACTTGGTTGATAGATGGTATTAATGATAGCGAACTTTTTGACGATAGATACCTTGTTTATCGGCGTGATAGAAATTACCTACGTACCCAGGAAAAGTATGGTGGGGGTGTACTGTTGGCCGTTCGTCGTGATATAATGGCCGTTGGACGTCCGGAGTGGTCATCCTCAGCAGAAGATATATGGCTTACCGTTACATATAGACATAATAAAAATACCACTAAAATACATTTTTGTACTCTTTACTTATGTAAAGAAAATAATGGTTTTAACTTTAACACGCAGCTACATAATTTCGCGGAAAACCTGTCTTCTATTGTGAACTCATGTCCTAACGATGTTTTTGTTATAACGGGAGACTTTAACTTAAGTAATATTGACTGGCACAGTGACGGAGATAACCTCCAGCCTACTGGTATTCTAGGGGAAGCGCAGACATATTTTTTTGATACACTGGCCGAATGTAATTTAAACCAATTTAATTTGTGCCGCAATGCCAACCATAGATTACTAGATTTAGTCCTGAGTAACTCTAATTTATCTGTGTGCGCGTGTGACGACCCGTTGGTCCCTGAAGATACACACCATAAATCTCTCGTTATTGAATTGAGTTTTGGTGGTATTGAGTGTCTCAAAACAAAAACTAGGCGCAAATACCTCTATCGATTAGCGGATTATGGGAAAATTAACTCGTCTTTAGATGAAATCAACTGGGAAGACTGTTTAAACGGCACATCATTAGAGAATGCTGTGCATTATTTTTATAATATCTTGTATGATCTAAGAGATAGACATATACCACATAAACTAGTTTCCCCGTCTAAGTTTCCAGTGTGGTACAACTCAGCACTAAAAAAGGTTCTCAAAGAGAAATATAAATATCATAGAAAATATCGCACATATGGAAACATTTCGGACTACGATACATTCTCCTTACTACGTAAGAGAGCCAAAGCACTAGAGGAAGATTGTTACATAGCGTATTTGAAGACCTCAGAAGAGTCCATTATTGAAAACCCTAAAATGTTTTGGTCCTTCATCAAATCAAATAAGCAGGGCGCTAATTCACTTCCGGCTAATTTGGAATATGAGGGTCAATCAAGTGACTCTGGAGAGGAGATTTGTGAGCTTTTCGCTTCTTACTTTAAATCCACCTTCCTTCCACCCTCTAGCAATATTGCACCAAAACATTCTAACGTAAATACTTCAAATCATACCCATTCCATTGGTGATATAGAAATTAACGCCGATAGTTTAAATACTTTACTGAAATCTCTCGACCTTACCAAGGGTGCAGGGCCGGATCTTATAGAGCCAACATTTATTGTGAACTGTTCGAAAGGTCTTGCGAGGCCGCTCGCAATACTTTTTAAGCGTTCTGTAACGGAAGGTATCGTCCCTGTTCTATGGAAGTCTGCATTTATAACTCCAATACATAAAAGCGGTAACAAGTGCCTGGTAAACAATTATAGGCCTATATCGAAATTGTGCCTGTTCGCCAAAGTCTTTGAGCGTATCGTATATACGCAGGTTTATGATAGCCTGTCTAGTATTTTCATCCCTGAACAACATGGATTCTTAAAAAATCGGTCAACCACATCCAACTTAATATTATTTACCGAATTTGTAACTTCAGGCATGGATGCAGGGGGGGAAGTTCACGCTATATTCACTGATTATTGCAAAGCCTTTGATCGAATAGACCATTCATTGCTTCTACAGAAACTACTGTCAGCAGGAATTCATGGAAATCTGTTTAGGTGGTTCTCTTCTTACATAGAAAATCGTACACAGGCCGTAGCAGTGAATGGTTACTGTTCAAAATGGTGTACTGTGCCTTCTGGTGTGCCCCAGGGTTCACTGCTTGGCCCTCTACTGTTTAATATTTTCATAAATGATATATCTTGCTGTTTTTTACATTCAAGTTTCTTATTATATGCAGACGATATGAAAATATATAAACAAATACAAAACACAAATGACTGCCAGAAACTGCAGGATGATCTCCAAAGATTTGAGGAATATTGCAAGCTAAATAAACTAGATCTAAATATTTCTAAATGTCATAGTATATGCTTTAGTCGTAAATGTAATGTGACGCACTACTTGTACACATTAAAAGGGACAGGGCTTAAGAATCTCACCCAAGTTCGGGACCTCGGCGTAATACATGACTCCAAATTAACTTATGAGCTGCACGTTGATAGTGTAGTTAAGAGAGCCACTAGGACCTTGGGCTTTATCATGCGTTCTTGTTCTCAATTCCAAAGTGTAAAAGTAGCAAAGGTGTTATATTGCTCATATGTGCGTAGCATCCTCGAGTATTGTTCACAGATTTGGAATCCGCAATATAATATTTACATTAACAGGCTGGAGTGCGTCCAACGGAAATTTATGAGATACTTACAGTACAAGAGCAAGACTTACATTGATAATTACATAGGGAGGTGTAGCAGACATCACATATTACCGCTACAAGATAGACGCAAAATAGCAGACATCATTTTTCTATTAAAAGTAGCCCAATGTAAGATCGATTCCCCACACCTCCTTTCTTTAATAAATCTACGTGCTCCTAGCAGGACTTTAAGACGACCCATTACTCTTTCTGTTCCTCATAGTAATAGCAATTACAGGAAGAACTCATTTTTTATTCGAGCTGCTAATGTCTTTAACCTTATGGCTGGCGATTCCGATATTGATTTATTCAATTCCAGCATAAATAGTGTTAAACGAAATCTCTTCAAAGACTGGTTTGATGTACATTCTTGAAAGGTGCTTTTTTTTGTATTAAGCTTTAATTTAATTAGTAGTAGGTAACTCTGGCTTGGTAACTTCTTTTCTATTTTTTTATTGATAAACAAGCATTACTCAGGCTCTAAATGTGAAAACATGTTAATGGTTATAAGTTTTCTAAAATGTTAGTCTACATAGTTTCAACACTGTATTGTTTTCCTTGTAAAATAAAAATAAAATAAAATAAATAAAGTATTTCGATGAACTCGGCCCGACTCGTTGTTCAGGTACGGGTTGTAGTTTAGACGGACTGGATTGAGAATAGAAAAGATTAATGATTTGTGAAAAAAAAAAGAAACGAAACAGCAGAGTAAGACCGGTTTAGCACTAAAACAGCACAGTAAGAACAGTTCCGCACTACGTCCGATTAGAATGCGTTTTCAATCCCTGAAAACAATACCAGAGTAAATACAAATGAGTAGGTCATCAAACCGCGCTCGGTGCGTTTCTATGAAGATGACCTACTGTATTTACTCTGACAATACGCACTAGATCCGATATCTGTCATCCGATTTCTTTATTAGTTTTCTAGGTCCGTATTTTGACGAACTCGGATCGGACGAAGTGCGAAAAAGCTTTCTAAGAAACAAAACATCTACTTGTGGCGCAGTCGGGTAAAAAGTAGCAGTATCAACACATTTGTGTCCCAAAACTGATTTTCAGCACAATTTCGTATCGTGTCGTCATAACTATGACGTCAGACCTCACCTCTAGTGTAGGAGGAGCCCAGGCCCAGCGGCGGGCCGAACTGGCCGCGGTTGTTGAACTGGCCGCGGTCGTAGTAGCGCGGCCGGTAGCGCGGGATGGGCCGCACGTGGCCTCGAGCGTCACACCTCACCTCTAGTGTAGGAGGAGCCCAGGCCCAGCGGCGGGCCGAACTGGCCGCGGTTGTTGAACTGGCCGCGGTCGTAGTAGCGCGGCCGGTAGCGCGGGATGGGCCGCACGTGGCCTCGAGCGTCACACCTCACCTCTAGTGTAGGAGGAGCCNCCCTCTACTGTTTAATATTTTCATAAATGATATATCTTGCTGTTTTTTACATTCAAGTTTCTTATTATATGCAGACGATATGAAAATATATAAACAAATACAAAACACAAATGACTGCCAGAAACTGCAGGATGATCTCCAAAGATTTGAGGAATATTGCAAGCTAAATAAACTAGATCTAAATATTTCTAAATGTCATAGTATATGCTTTAGTCGTAAATGTAATGTGACGCACTACTTGTACACATTAAAAGGGACAGGGCTTAAGAATCTCACCCAAGTTCGGGACCTCGGCGTAATACATGACTCCAAATTAACTTATGAGCTGCACGTTGATAGTGTAGTTAAGAGAGCCACTAGGACCTTGGGCTTTATCATGCGTTCTTGTTCTCAATTCCAAAGTGTAAAAGTAGCAAAGGTGTTATATTGCTCATATGTGCGTAGCATCCTCGAGTATTGTTCACAGATTTGGAATCCGCAATATAATATTTACATTAACAGGCTGGAGTGCGTCCAACGGAAATTTATGAGATACTTACAGTACAAGAGCAAGACTTACATTGATAATTACATAGGGAGGTGTAGCAGACATCACATACCTCACCTCTAGTGTAGGAGGAGCCCAGGCCCAGCGGCGGGCCGAACTGGCCGCGGTTGTTGAACTGGCCGCGGTCGTAGTAGCGCGGCCGGTAGCGCGGGATGGGCCGCACGTGGCCTCGAGCGTCACACCTCACCTCTAGTGTAGGAGGAGCCCAGGCCCAGCGGCGGGCCGAACTGGCCGCGGTTGTTGAACTGGCCGCGGTCGTAGTAGCGCGGCCGGTAGCGCGGGATGGGCCGCACGTGGCCTCGAGCGTCACACCTCACCTCTAGTGTAGGAGGAGCCCAGGCCCAGCGGCGGGCCGAACTGGCCGCGGTTGTTGAACTGGCCGCGGTCGTAGTAGCGCGGCCGGTAGCGCGGGATGGGCCGCACGTGGCCTCGAGCGTCACACCTCACCTCTAGTGTAGGAGGAGCCCAGGCCCAGCGGCGGGCCGAACTGGCCGCGGTTGTTGAACTGGCCGCGGTCGTAGTAGCGCGGCCGGTAGCGCGGGATGGGCCGCACGTGGCCTCGAGCGTCACACCTCACCTCTAGTGTAGGAGGAGCCCAGGCCCAGCGGCGGGCCGAACTGGCCGCGGTTGTTGAACTGGCCGCGGTCGTAGTAGCGCGGCCGGTAGCGCGGGATGGGCCGCACGTGGCCTCGAGCGTCACACCTCACCTCTAGTGTAGGAGGAGCCCAGGCCCAGCGGCGGGCCGAACTGGCCGCGGTTGTTGAACTGGCCGCGGTCGTAGTAGCGCGGCCGGTAGCGCGGGATGGGCCGCACCGTGGCCTTCAGCGTGAGGTTGCCGCGGACGGGCGCGCCCGACGTGTAGTTGGCCATGATACGCCCGTGGATGAACGGGTCCGTGTTGAAGAAGAACGCTGGCATTGTTACGTTTACCTGTAGGGAAAATTGCGGTTTAATAACTTAACAATATCTCTAAAACTTGCCACTGAATGTGGGCGCTCGCACTGTGAGCCTGCCTCGGCCGCGCGTATAAAGCCTGGTCCGTGAGCAAATTCAAATTCAAATTATTTATTTGCTCAAAAAATAGGGTAAATACATAAGTGGTGTTGGTATTTTATAAAAAGTGCATTCCTATTTAGCTAATGTCAGTTAGCACGTAGAATCCCGTCCAATGACCCCAAGCTACCCATCCTTATCGCTCGCGCGTAATTATATTGCTGTCGCGACTGTGCGACGCGCGCCCGCAGTGAGTGTGCGAGCGCGACAGCAACATAATTACGTGCGAGCGTTGGAGTCATTGGACGGGATTCTACGTGCTCACGGACCAGGCTTTAGAAAGAAATCCGTCGCATGCGTCCGCGACACACTGTGTTGCTCATACAGACTGGCGTACGTGCGTTCGCGCAAGTTTTAGCGTATGCCCTAAGTGACCTGTTGGTCTGAAAAATTTTATGGAATTATAGTATGTGTTCTCCATGATTCACTAGCAGCAAGTATGGCCGAATATATTGGAAATATTTTTATTATGTACCACTGTAGAAAAAAGGTAGGGTTAAAATTACATTATGATTTTGGGATACAGCAAATTATCTCTAAAGGGAATAATTACACTCTATAGTCGTACCTCATAGCGCGTCTGATAGTACTCTTCCACTAGGAACTGTGTTTCTTCCGTTTGTCCCAACGCTTCCACCTTGATGGTCCACATGCCGAAGAGAGGCTGGTCCGACAACTGGTACTGCAGACTGACTGTACCGAAGTTACTCTGTGGACAAATAGTGTTAATGTTAAAGACGTTAACATTTTAAATTCCTCACTTTAGTTCGTTCGTTTCAGCCGAAAGACGTCCACTGCTGGACAAGCAAAGGTCTTTCTTTTGTCCTTGGGGGGCAAGGATTAACACAAAGACCGGTCCTGCGCGGCTCGCATCCAGGCGCCTCCTGCGACCTTCACCAGATCGCCGGTCCACCTAGTGGGAGGCCTGTCCACGCTACGTCTTCCTCACTTTAGTTAGATAAGGCTAAGTTGCACCATCTTACTTTAACTATAGCAAATGTCAAAATTCTGTCAAACTCCATACAAAAAAACACCGCTTATCGTTATCATTGCGGTTAAAGTTAGGTGGTGCAACTCAGCCTAAGAATGTACATGTTCAGATTAACGCAGTTTTTATAATGTCCCGCAATTTTGCACTTTTTGTACATAATTTAAGGTACATTTTCAGGAAGTTTTCACTATATGTACGACACTTCAGTCATTGATCCTAACATCATATTTCACAATGCACTATCTGATGCATAGTGATCACTGTTATCAGATGTTTTATGGCAATGTTCTCGTATTGTATCGCCACAGACGAACGTAACACCAAACCATGTTTCCATTTTATGGACAACGTTGCAATAATGACTTTTTACTCAGCTACAAAACTGGAAAATAACATGAATACCTGTATTTATACAGTATTGTCTGTTAGATTATGAACTTACCTGTCTAGAAAGCCATCTTTTCATAATGTGCCCATTGGGGTCTAGAATATAAACGTCGATGGCTCGGCCGAAAGCTTTCAACTCTGTGTTTATGGGTATGGCGCGGAATCGGACTGAAACGAAATGATTACCATGAAGTTATTATTTTGTTACAGTATGATAATTTCACTTCTATGTATTTCTCTATTTTTTACTGGATTATAGGGGCCGTTCAAGTATTACGTAAGCACCAAGGGGGGTGGGGGGGTCTCTGTTTCGCTTATTTTGATGACATGGGGGGTAGGGGGGTCTAGATGATGATTACGTCATCGTTAGTTATTTACGTTTTTTCGGGATTCCCGCAAATAATACATATGCGTAGGCACTCGCTTTGAGAACTGATTAGGGGAATTACCGCACATTAGGGAAATTACCGTGCGCTATTTACTTGTCTAATAATTAACTCTCGTGCCGACATTGCCCATTGAAATTTGAGAGTCCTAGTCCGCATAAAATATTATTATTATACGCGAGGCCGGCCTCCCGCGCTCGTGTTTTGTTTGGATACTAAACGTATTGTAAGCATTGAAAGTTATCATTTGTGTTTATGTTGATGCATAATTGATGCAATTATGTTTGTTATGTTCTTTTTTTCTGATTATATTTTTTTGTTCCTACTTTATGTGTATCAGTTAAACCTAATATTTTCATGAATTTTCCTATTTGAAAAATGACAATATAAAAACATTTATAACAAAATGTTTACGTAAGCATAGGGGGAGGGGGTAAGTGCTTTGCTTACTTTTGANGATACTAAACGTATTGTAAGCATTGAAAGTTATCATTTGTGTTTATGTTGATGCATAATTGATGCAATTATGTTTGTTATGTTCTTTTTTTCTGATTATATTTTTTTGTTCCTACTTTATGTGTATCAGTTAAACCTAATATTTTCATGAATTTTCCTATTTGAAAAATGACAATATAAAAACATTTATAACAAAATGTTTACGTAAGCATAGGGGGAGGGGGTAAGTGCTTTGCTTACTTTTGATGACAAGGGGGGCGGGGGGGTAAAAAATGGTAAGAAATCTGCTTACGTAATACTTGAACGGCCCCATAGTAATAAATATGTAGCCATTATGGCTTTGAAATTAATGAAGTACCTTAAGTGAATCAAAGGGGATCACAGATTTATAATTAATAAAATCAAAACCTTGTTGAAACCTAGTATTTATTCACCTGTTTGTCCCTGCATATAGACTGGTTTGTCCATCTGAATGAAAATGGTCATGAACCGCCTTGAGAACATAAGCTGGGTCTCATTCACAAAGGCTCTGCCACCAAACGGATTATCCAGGTATAAGCCTTCCACTCTCAATTTATAGTCTCCTGGTACTGAAGTAGCTGGGATCTAAAATGTAATAAAAACTATTCAATATTGCATGAAGTTGAATTCTCAATTTGGGTTTTTCTTTTACTTTATACATTAAACTTTCATGTTGCATTTTTACTATAAATATCACTATAGCAGGATTTGGGAACAATTTCTTTTACTTTGCTATGCAATGTGATAAGCCTTCATTTACAACAAATGTTTGGCAATCTAGTTAAGTAATTAACATTTAAATTAAAGTAGTATTTTTCCTTAGTTCCTTATTTTGGTGTTTTTTTAATTTTAAACACTATAGAAGACATACAAAAGCTGGACTTCATGCTAAATGCATTCTCCGCCTTACTATCATGTTCATTAATTCATGCCATGACTTACTCTCATATTCAATATTTCCGGCACACCCTCTTTGACCCTCTGGATTACGTCAGCAATCTCCACTCCGTCTCTGGCGATGGATGCACGGACCGTCATCTGCAAGCGTGCCTGCAGAATGTTGGCGGAGATCTTGTAGATCTGGCCAGGCCTGACCATTCGAGATGCTACTATGAAGTATGTCCTGAAAGAAATATGGTTGATTTAGTAAATAAAAACTAGGTGCAGAAGGGAAATTAAGATCTCCAGTAGAGTTAAGAATTGTTATCATCATTATATCAAATCCTTTATCTAAGTTTACATTAAACTGTAATTTTTTTTTATGAAATCAGTATTACATAGCTTGTTTTGGAAGAAAACTAACCCTTCCTAATGAAAATGGTGTTAACAAACTTGATTTCTTTGTACAAATATGTGTGTTACTGTATGTTATCAAGTATTTAAAAATTCTTATAAGAATAACTTACGCTTCATTGATGATGACACTGTCCTGTTCCAAGGGAGGACTTTTATATGAGGTGCTGTAAGTCCTGCCCGTGTCCCAAGAAGGTCTAGGAGTATTATCCTGGCTGAATGTGTTCTGATTAGTGTACGCTGGATCATTTCTAGTGTCGTACCTTTGGTTAGGATCATTCTTATTGTCATACCTCTGATTTGGATCATACACGTTCTGATTATTATTGTACTGGTTCCTATTTTGGTACCTTCTGTTCGGGTCATATGGGTTGTCATATCTAGGGTCATTCTGACCACTTAGGTAGTCATTTGATATTGTTGGGTTGGGCTGGTTCACGTCAGGATTGTACGTGGGGTTGTAGTCTTGCGCCGTACATTGTAATATCAATAAACTTATACAAATAAAGTCGAGATTCATTTTTCAGTCTTGGATTTCAGATGCCTGTAACATCACAATGAGGTCAGATGGTTTCTGTAATATTAAAATACTAAAAGAAATACAACGCAGTCGCAATTAATACTTAGTAGCGTAAACCGAAAACATGAAAGGAAACTTATACCTTTGAATAGGAAATCATCAGAGTAAAAAGTTAACTCAAGTTTCAAATTACGTTCAGTCGTTACCTAACGTAAACAACAAAGTGTAACTTGACAAACACATTTTTATGCCCCATTCATGTTTCAAATTGATAACTTAAACAAAACACGATATCAAAAAGGGGTAAAGGGGTTAATTATCACTAATTTTAATTTAATAATAAACCTAACAATAACTTAACCTGAAGTTAACGCCCATGGAAACGCCTCGTTACACGAATTTTGCGGCACCAAAAACATTAATTTACACAAAAACACTTCACTTTGTAAAAACTAAAGCTATAGTTTGATTTACGAAAGGAATTTCATTGTAAAATAAGATAAATCGAATCAAATAAACAAGAACGTTAACGCCATTCTATTACTCACTTCATTCGGAAAGCTTTTTTGCGCAGCCGCACCACGCCCGGTAACATTAGTGTTGTACAAAAACCGGTTTTGTAAAACAAAATAATCGAGTCCTTTGAATTCGATTATTGAAACGATTGTGACAATTCAATGATTCGTGTAACTACGTGACAGTCACGTGATACTTACTGTGATTTTTTTTGTTCTGTGACTTACGAAAAGTTCCGTTCCGTACTTCCGTTTCCTGTAATCTGCTGCTGAGCTGGGCAGCCGACTTCTCCTATCCCAATAGTGGGGAGCGGAACAGTTGTATCTTTCTTTTATTTAAAAATGCTTTTTTACTTTTATCTCCAATGTCCACCATTGAGACTAACCTCATTTCTTCTCCGGAGAGATTTCCAGTAGTTTCCAGATAAATACAAGTTAATTTCCAAATTGCTAAGACATTCTGCATGAATTACCTTTCACATCAATCTATATAAAAAAAAGTTGTCGCTAGGTGGTAATCGCCACCTGTTAGTCCCAACCACCACCCCGGTGACAAGCTCGAAAGGGGTAGATGGGAATTGGCAGCCACAATTCATTTTTAGTTAGTAATTCATGTAAAGTAGTAGTGTGATCCTATAGTATGTAGGTGATAGTTATGCATGTGTGGTGTGCTTACTAAAAATACAGATTCATTAAATAGGTAATAATCAATCGAAACTGATCTTATTAATGTTCGGGCTGATAATCACAACAAAAGTAGGAATTGAACCCACTTAAGACCAAGTTTGAGGCCCAGTTTCCATCAAGCGAGGAACTAATATTTTTATGTAACAAAAATTTACCTATTGCCACTTTTCTTTTAAGTACCTTCAAAGGAGTCATGTTTTCTTTCATCTGTTTCATAGTGCAGCAGCGGAGATGAAAGAGTGTAGCTGGACAAGCGTTTAAGTTAAAATAATTTCATCTTTGAAATTCCCATTTTCCCCCATTCGCAAGAAGTCTTCGGGGGAAGATGGGACATGCTATGACAACTAGATGTGGCGACTTGAAGCAGCACCAACTCCTCGTTCTAGTCCTATCCACTACCATTTGTGGCAATATCCTGCCAGCAAACCTAGTCTCCATTCTTTTACGCATCATTGCATTGCTGGATACTGGGCCAAAGCCAATCACCACATCAAATTCGTCTTAGAGCGCCTTCACATTTCGGTGACTTTCATACAGCGGCATTTTTAATGTGAAATCGCTGCAGTGGCTGCGGCTGCCGCACAACTTGCGACCCAATGTGAAGGCGCATCATACATCCAATTTAGGTTCGTGGAAAGTTTTTTAGGTGTGGTAATAGGATAGGTATGCCCTCTTGTTCTGTCAGTTGTCTGATATTTTTGTTGATTGTTCATTTGGGAGACCAAATAGCTTGTGTTTCAGCGGATAAGTATTGTATAAGGGTGAAAATAAATAAATGTGTAAAGGGCAAAATGGAAACTTGAAAATAATAAGGCAAGATTTTTATTATCTCCCACTGAGAAGCCAAGTAACTTTATACATTCAAATGTACTGAACACAGGCACATTGATAGGGATAACAAAATAAAAAATATTCTGATTGATGAAATTCTAATTAACCACTGAATTCTCCACAAGTTAGCAGGACCTCATAAACAAAGGAATTGATCAATAAAATAAATAAATCATCAGATAGTGAAAAGATGAAGATTTGACTCGTCAGACCGCAAACGATCGCACAAGAACCAACTTAAACTGTAACGAGACGAACAAGAGAGTCCAGTAGGATTGGGTACTCCGGGGCCTCCTCTTCCAGTCAAAACGCATGGTACGCCAGCATCCAATTTATCTTTTGACAAAAAAATCTGTACAAAATATATTAAATATATACTCTGTAATGCTAAAAACTGTAACGCTACCTCATCAATAGTTCAATCATGATTATTAAATGATTTAAAAACACAATAACTCGTTCACCGTGCAGAACAACATTAACCTATCGCGAGCGGCGCCCGCGCGGCGGGAGACCTATTTACAAGTCAACATTTTAAAAATCATACTCCTCATTCATCGAGAGTACACTGCGTCTGATTTAATTCCGTTGCATAAATTTCATACAGTCATGTGGTCTTACGATCTAGTCGCTTTATCGCGTCCTTTGCTTATCGTCCGTGCGTGGCATCATAATATACATAGTTTTTGTTTATATGTGTGAGTGGGGGTCGGAGGCGTGTGTTAGTTCCGCTCCGACTCGTCGCAATCGCGGGAGATGTGTCCGGGCTTGCCGCAGACGTAGCAGGTCTTGGTGCCGTCGGGGCAGTTGCGCGAGATGTGTCCGGCCTTGTTGCAGTTGTAGCAGGTCTGGCCGGAGCTGTCGCGCCCGCCCTCGGGGCAGTTCCGCGCGATGTGACCGGTTTTGTTGCAGTTGTAGCACGACGGCTCGTCGGGACTCTGCGCGCACTCGCGCGCTATGTGTCCCGTGCCGTTACATCTGGAAATGAGGGTTCCACTGTTAGTCACATGCCGAAACGGGGTGAACAAGGCAGACGTGTCTTATTTGCTTAGACCCTACAGCCGAAGTATTCAGGTGAAGGTTCTCAACCCTACCTGTTGTATGCGTACCATACATAAAATAACCCAGCCGTAATGACAAACAAGTCGCAGGTTCTCGCAATTGAACCAAACTCCCTATCAGAAATAACGGATGGCATTGGCACACACTTTTACACGTTTCTTTTGCATCTTTATGCATGATATATACCGTTATCTTTATGGCCATTACCTTGGCAAATGGCATAAAGTTACACATGTTCATGAATTTTGAGGCGAATAAGGGCAGAGTTATGCATTTTACATTTACGCTATATCTATCATAATAATATGTCAGATCTTAGGTACGCGTCTAAGTTCAGGGTCAAGGTCGGTCCTCGAGGTTCTGTCGAAGATTCGATCGGCATGTGTGGCGTCCACCGGCCTTGGGAATCAAGGTCAAAATTAAATACAGCGAAAACTACACCCTTAATTGGATAGTTGAGTAAAAAAACGACGCCACTGTAATAGACTAGCCTGGAAAAGTTTCAGAAAACATACCTATAAAAAACTATTAATATGTGTTTCGTGCGTTTACAGAATAATAAAATAATATTATCTACATTTATTAAAAAGAACACGGTATTTATTTTAAACTAGCTAAAAAAATACTTATTCCCAATTGTCCTCACTGGGGACGATCCTGGTGGGGGCAACTGGGAATAACCTGTTCATTTGGGCCCTCCTAACCTTCAACGATATGGCGAAATCAAAACCCCTTCTCAAATAGATTAATTTTGCGTGATTCCAATTATTTTGGATTAACATCTGGCTAAATTTCTGCAGATCACTTTATAAGCTATGAATATTAATTAATTAATTAACACGATTTCACTTAGGAAATTTTCTTTTAAACAATTGTCGTCAATTTCAGACCGTAAAACTCGGAATAACAGAAAACGTGGATGTAGTTTACAAAATAGTGCTTTCTGGCCTATCTTACAGGCCTTGTAAATTAAAAGTCGCGGGAAATAAGGAAAGCGGCGCAGGACCTGCCATTGGGGAAATCCTTGGGCCCTAAGTAGGCTGTTCCCAGTAGTGGAAGTCTTTTGGCTGAAACGACGACAGTGCATAGAAAGCTAGTCATTTGACATAAATGGCTTAGGGTAAGATGGTTATTTTTCTATTCTATTTTAAATAGAAGAGACCCTGTAGCAGTCAGCATCCTCTTTGCAGTAAGATTTAGGAGTACAGGTAATCTAAATCTATAATAAAAAATGAGAAAAACTGGCATCTGGCAGCATTTCCTTTCCTTAAGGCTGAGCCGCAAACGACGCATCGCAGCAAAGTGTCGCAAGGAGGCACTGCAGAGTATCGTTGCATAGTGACGTGTAGCGCAGTGCCGCACCGTTCAAACGCCGTCCGCCCTTTAACTAACGCTATAATAGTAAAGTAAGAGAACCTGTAGCAACGGTCAGCTTCCTCCTTGCAGTCCCGCGCGAAGTGCCCGGTGCGGTTGCACTTGAAGCACTTTTCGCGTTGGCGGTTGAAGCCGGAGTCGCCACGCGGGGCCACGCCGCCCTGGGTGCACTCGCGAGCGAAGTGCCCCGTCCGGTTACACTTGTAGCATACGCTTGAACTCATGGCTGGAACAAGATAATATCCTAAGTCATTATTCTGTTGTGGTGCTGTCGGGCTGAAGGAAACCTAAATTCCAAAGAAGCTGGCCTAAATAGAGCACTAACCAGAGGTCAACCAACCAATATAACGTCTTGCAACGTCAAAATATTCATTCAATCATAATCCGTCATTGGGTACTGGTTGGTTTTGGGCTCAAAGCGTAAGCCAGTAGCTTTTTAGAAGTGAATTAAATTCCCTGTAGAGACTGACTTTACAAAAAATAATTAACTGTAAACAAGTTGCGCTCATGATAATACGCAGGTGCAAAGCAAAATAGGTCATTCAGTGGGCTTGGAATTGAAGTGTAGATCGTCGATAACTTGAACTACCGGTCACGGTAATTTTATCGCGTGAACGCAAAGTCAGAACTTGTTGTTCTACCATGAATATGCTTTGAATTAATTAACCATGTTACTTGTAAGCTACACAGTAATGAAATAATTTATTAGTAGACCTTATTACAATGTTTATGAATGCCAAAAATTCGGATGAAATTGTTTAGTTGATGTGACAGGAATTGAGGGCTTAATCTCAATACTAGGCTGGAAGTTAGCCAATGTAGATTGTACTCATTTTTGCGATAGTAAAAACTGGGAGAACTCATTGAATAACCTACTGACTGACAAAGTTTTGATCGGTCATGACCTTGGAGCGGTGACGCGTGCGTGACACAAATCAAGTATGCGGTCATTACCCCCACCGCCTACTCCTGGCCTGCTGCATACACGTGAGGGAGACGACTCTATGCTCCCGCGCGGCGACGCGTGACCGCGATAACGAGAGGGCGCAGGCGCCAAGATCACGGCAAATTGCGTATGATTGCCGTCAATTGACGTGCGTATGCCGTTGTAATTGAGTTGATAAAGAATAGGGGAGAGGAATGTTGCGAAACAATTGAGTCAGACTTACCTAAGTCAAACGAAAAAGTAAAAAGTACAGTTCTAGAATTGCATCTAACTACCATACTGCTTTAATGAAAATGAACACCTTAAATTGAGTTTATTGTTACCTAATCTATCTATACTCATAATAAATCTGTAGAGAGGTCAATTCTGTACATGAAATATATTTTCAAAATAACTATCAGGGGGTGATTAGTGATCGATACTGATGCCAAAAATGCAATCAGTAAAATTTTTGTCTGTCTGTCTGTCGGTCTGTCTGTATGTCTGTCTGTATGTTCCTTATAGAAACAAAAACTACTTGACGGATTTTAACGAAACTTGGTACAATTATTCTTCGTACTCCTGGGCAGGTTATAGGATACTTAGGAATTCCCACGGGCACGGGAATTAGCGGGAAAATCATTTTGTATGAAAAATCTAAACTGCTTAAGTTAGACGCTTGAAATTTGGCATGCAGGTACCTTAGTAAACTTAAAGCTTAGTTACAACAGGATATTGCAAAATTCCTACGGGAACGGGAGTTAGCGGGAAAAAACATTTGTATGAAAAATCTAAACCGCTTAAGTTAGACGCTTGAAATTTGGCATGCAGGTACCTTAGTAAACTCAAAGCTTAGTTACAACAGGATATTGCAAAATTCCCACGGGAACGGGAGTTAGCGGGAAAAAACATTTGTATGAAAAAATCTAAACCGCGTAAGATAGATGAAGGGGGTAAAACGGGATCCACGCGTACGAAGTCGCGGGCGGCCGCTAGTTACCAAATAAATGATGTGGTTTTACCTACTAAACTTGACACAAATTCAAAATAATTTGTAAAGCTACTATCACACATTATCCTCAAGTTGATGTTTTTCAAGTAAGCATCTATCTACTCATTAATTTTAAATATTTATCTAATTCTGAAGGTCAAACTAGTCATGGATTAAAGTACAAAATTGATTAAGAAAATTCAATTACCTTAATATGGAAAACATTAAATTAAAACTAAATAAGAAATCAATGAATAATATAGACTAATGAATTTATAAATAAAACTACTTGGTCATGCTTGAAATGTGTCATTTAGAAACTCAAGTAATGAAGACTGACAACATTATTTAGACCTACAAAAAGTTGGATTATTTAATATAACAAAAAAAAAAAATTTACACACCTCAAACTCATGTTAATTTAAGATAGTCCTATGTCTTTTGAAATAAGAGGCATTTTACTTCAGTACTTCATTTTAGATGCACTCAAGTTGAAAGTTGTACATAAGTAATGATCACTGGATACATTTGTTAATGACAGACTAATTACCTACATCTTAATTTTCAATTATTAGGAATGTTATTTACTAAAGTGAGTAATAAAAGCAACAAATTAATAAGTATTTATGGCATATGTACGCGCAGACGATCTTGGTTTTCTGATTTATTAAAACTGGCAATAAATATAATAATGAGAAGTGAAAATTAATAAATATCCCAATGCTTTTTATTGATACAGCACTACAGCAGTGACAGTAATGCCCATAAATATTAAATATTGAATAGAATTTTTTATTATGACGTAACCCTGAAATTTTAATTTTTACTAAATTGCTTGTACTTTTTTCAGAGATACCTAAGCCGTTTAGTAATAAGCAAACAATACTCATTGAAACAAATTTTTCTGTTCTTCAGATAAAAAGTTATTGTTCAAAATACAGTTCATACTATTCTGTAATAGCTTGAAACAAAATAACTTACTAGGCATTAAAAAGAAACAATATTAAATAAGTGAAATAACTTATCAGATGCCCTCTAATGTGTTGGCGATGATGTACAGTCAACAGCAAATCAGTCAACAATAAATTTTTGTTGCAAATTAGAACTTATCTCAACTACATACGAGTTCACTATTCAGCTTTATCTGCTGTTGCCTGTATGCAACTTTGCTGGCAGTGATAGGATAGCTGTTGTTTAAATGAAATGCATTGGGAAGAAGCCAATGTCCATCGCTGGATTAACATAGAAAAAAAAAATACCATGACATCAATCAAAAAATACCATGATACAAATTATGTTAATACCTCAGCCTGAAGATAAGTGGTCAACTACAAAAAAAAACCTATTAAAAAAGTATTTCACTTCATAAAATAATACTTAGATACAAGTTTGTGTAACCACACACACAAAAAAAGCATGAGTAATCTGTAAATGTACCAAATTGGTAGTGTGAGGTTATTGCTCAGAATGCTTGGTCTGTGCCAGTGAGCAGGTTGCAGCTATCTAACTTTCACACAAATAGTTCATATTAGATGCGTCATTGTCATAATGTGCACATGAGAAAAAAGAGAAACCTCACATTCAGGGCACGCACTTTCGACACATCATCAGTCTGGAATGACAGCATTACATAAAGTTGCAATTATCCAGCATTGTAGGAAATGTAAACGTGTACAGAAGAACAAAAGGGACACTACATTAGTTTTAAGTAATTTACCTCAACAGCTTGTCAGAAAAAGACCCACTGATTGTCAAACTAACCACATCGAATAAACAACCTAAATGCAATGCGTTCACTTAAAAATACTTGGTTTTCACTCAATTTTGTCAAGGGAATGTGTGTCGTGGTGAAATTAGGTAATAAATTTAAGAAAACACAGTCCGCAACGTACGTACGCGGTATAGTAACCAAACCACGTGTATGGCACCGGTAGCGCGCGGTTTCACAATGAGTTATGCACTGTACACTTACCGATTACTTGTGAAACTTTTTGAGCACTTAGTTCACTAATATATTGATCGTTGAACGACCGAAATTTCAACAAAATTTACAAATTAGCTGTAATTTATGACGCTTGGTTTGCAAGGAAGCCAGCCACCATCACTACAAATTCGTAAAAGACATGTTGAGCATAGACACGAAATTTAAAAAGTTTCCAAACGTGACTCTACAAATAAGTGAAAATAGCAAAAATAATACTTCAATTATGGAAAACTTAAACAGTATAAAATGTTTTTGGCGGCTTTTATGTAAATAAGACTAAAATTATCTGAATATTTATAAACACAAACAATGTTTTTACATTTCGATGTCGATTGTTTGTACAATGAAAACAAATCTTATTTTGTCTATGAAATACATAAACGAACCAATGAAAAATCGCTAGCAACCAATCACTGTATGACTATGCTGAACTATCTGCCAATGAGCGACTCGCTCTTTGTGCATCAATGTCATGGTCGCCGAGAACGCAGTATTTATTAAACGACCAATTTCAGGAGTATATAGTTTAACAGGAGAGTTCTTTTTATTTTATGTGTCTTCTTTTTATGTGGTTATCTTGCACCGACTGACTGACTGACATTGTTTGAATTTTGATTGAATGCGATCAAAGAGCATAAATGCGATTGCAGTGTTGCCAGAAGGTTACTTTTGTAACCTTTTAGGTTACTTTTGAACTGCTGTGGTTACTTTTAGGTTACACTAATGAAAAGGTTACTTTTAGGTGATTTTTCAGAAATTGTAGAATTAACTTTACAGGTTATTCAGTAAAAAATATTAATAGTGACAATTTAAAAATTATGTCATAAAGTGCATTTAAACTTGAATTTGATTTATTATTTGTTAAAAAAAAATGAGTTTTAGCGAATGTTTTTCGATAATAAAACGCAAATCCATGAAACGTTTTTATACGATTGGTCACTTTTCGAATTTAGATGATCAATTATTGTATTCATTTTCCATCCATGAACAACCTTACACAATCATCGCTCCGCACCCCCCCCCCCCC